AGTTATTGATACAAAGCTGTAGGCATGTGATATATCGTGGGTGCCTCTGTGAAAGCTGTACTGCTCTCTGAGCATGTGAAATGGTCTCTTTCACTTAAAAGTTCTGGATGGTAAGGAAGAGAGATGTGGCTTACCTCAAGGAGAGCATTCCCCAAAGCTTTGTATACCTTGTGTGGCTTTGTGCATTTCTCTATGAAGCTGTGTGTCAAGATCTTATCTACATACTAGCATTTCCACTAGTTGGAAAGGGGACAGTTGAATGGAGATGCCCACTGCTAGATCCTCTACAAAATCTTACAGGAAATGGAAGGCATTCAATGTCCTGTGAGCTACGGTGAAACTAACATTGCGGAAAGTATCCAAGCAGTGAGATCATGGCTGTAACGTTACATACCTTACACACAGACAGTACATGCACCTCTCCAGGGCTAACTGTGGACCAAACAAACATGGGAAAGTCAAGACTTATTTACAGACAGGCCAAAGGATTGTTGTAATGACATGACCCTCTGTGACCTTACAGTTCGGACTGAGAAAGGGTGACCCAGCTGCCTTCTGGGAGTCTATCTACTGGTGTCCTGTCCTGTGGGGCTTGCCCTCAACAATGACTGACCTAACAATGTAAAATGGATTAGTTCTACCAGAGCTAGCCTTTTTGCAGGCTCCATGACTGGGGCTGGTAAAAGTTGTATAAACAACTGTGTGCTGTTTTTCTTAGGGCCAAGGAGGTTTTATGGCAGATCACTTCTACTTCTACATGTTGTCAATTGTTCTTGTGCTTGCATATGCTGGGCTGGCACAAGAACCCGGGTACAGACATAATTGATATGCCACATGAAAAATAGTCCATGAATAAGCCCCAGTCGTAGAGCCTGCTCAGGAGACTACATGTATGTATGAGCTATCCTAGAAATCCTAGAAAATCTTCCCCAGTCAGTAAATCTTGTTTGTGTACATTTAAGAATACCCCCAAATCCCTGTCAGACTGTTAGCTTGATCCTCGCCACCATTTACCAACTACTGAACTAGTACACTTATGACTTCATTGATAGATACACCAACTATCAGGAAATCTAACAGCATGATAGTTTTACGACGATAAATGGGTAGAATCAGGTTTTTGTGATTTGACAAATTTCATGGGTTCATATATTCCAAGCATCACTAAAGCCTTTTACATTTCAAGGTATCAAGGTATTTCAAATAATATACCAGTACTTACACAAAGAACCTCGATGCATTTAGAACATAGATCATATTTCTCTGTGAACATTTTTCACAAAGTTGCTTCCTATGAAGAGCAAACATTGACATCCCCGTTTGGCTTTGAAATGAATATCAACACTCTTTTCTGAAACTGGCAGCCAGAGTGCAATATTCACAAACTCACTCCCTCTGCTTTACCCACCACTGACTAATCCATTCTCCGTGGTTGAGGTTTAGGGAGGAGCCAGAGGACCACCCCCAGTGGTTATTATAACATCCCTACTGGTAAGAGGGACCTTCTAGCCTGGTTACTAGTACAAATTTTAGCTGTTGAGTCTCATTGTCCTCTTTCTATTTTCGGAGAGGACAAAAGAGACTAGGCAGCAAAAATAGGTTTGGTACCCACCTAGGGGCCTTCGGGTGTCTATGGAAAGGTATGGGAGTCCAACCAAAGTAATAAGCATTGCACAACACCACTATACAAGCCCCAAGCATTAGCAGCTGGAGTTTGCATGGTCTCACCCAGACAACACCATCTATTTCCCTCACAGTTCGGTGTAAATCTTGCCTCCGAGTGGTTTAGTCTGTCTACCAACTGTGAAGGACATGAAGCAGGGAACAGTAAACTCAAGTAAATATTGTTGTTAGTATTACCTCCATGTACTGGAACTAAGGCCGGGGAGACCAGCTCTATTTCATACAAGAAAAACTAACTGATCATCATTTACTAAAACTGTTTGAATTGCAAGGTTGTTAAGTCTCATACTCTATCTTGGTCCAATTACATTCTTGGTCGTACATCTTTCAGACTACTAGTAATTGGAAGCTGATCTGTTCCTCCTAGCCATAGGCTACAACGTAAAGGGAGAGGGGGTATGTTAATAGCAATTTACACTTCTCAGGATAAAGTTATAATAATATAGGGCATCTTCTGAAGACTTCATGATGTATGAAAATGAGCTCAGGTACGGGACAAGATTTATTGCAATTTGAATCATCCATGCCTTTTTGAAACAGCCGCTTTTAGCAGGGCTTCATGAGTTGTAGCTTGAAGTAAATGTATGAAAGGTACACGTGTGTAAAACATCATGTGTTATGTCTGTGATAGCAGGAAATGGCAATGTCATGAGTCTATAGCTACAGGAGAACCATTAGACCGGGAGACATTCCTTTTAGGAATACTTCTTTACATATCTAACTGTCAGCAATTCTACAAGCTCATGATATACACAATACAATAGATATTCAGTTACAGCATGCATTTTCTATTTCTAAAGAACCATGGTAGTGTCTTTTTTCTACATCAAACTTAAGATATGCAGGGGTAATGGTCCATACAGGTGTACTCTGTTTACAAAATGTAGGTTTCCTCCACTATTTGGGGATGTTTGTTTATTCTGCCATTGCACAAGATGTCTGAATACCTTCCTTATGAAACAAATGTAGCTTTCTGTGCAGTATTTATTGTCACTAAATTTTTGGTGAGTTGCATGTAGCACATCCTGCCATGTGGGGTAGGTTCAATAAACCTCAGTTTGACTTTGCCTCACACACTTACACTTTCCTAACATCAACAAATTCTTGAGTCATGTATTATTACAACAATATTAATTCTGTCAGACTAAAGTTTTAAGGATTTACAAAGTGAAAGTGTTACTGATTGCAATTGAATTAAAGAAAAAAAATACAGAATTCAGATTTATGTGTTTACTTTTCACTTAACAGTTTACATGACCAGAGTCCAAGTGATTGACAGCAGAAAACAGGTGCAAGCATGCTGCCAAAGAACTGCCTTACCTAGAACTGAAGATAGGCACACTTCATGGGGATAACTCAGCTGCAGTTGTTCTGGATGGGCATGGCATTTACTTGTTCTCCATGGGTCACAAACACAACCTACCCAGTCCCTGCAATAGTCCTGAAATGGCCAATTATGCTGCTGCATGCAGACTGGTTACTGGGGCAGCAGACACAACCTGGTAACTTTAAACTTAATTCCCATCAGTCGGTCCCCTAGGCTGCCTTATATGTGAGGCTAATCAGAAACACTGACTTTTTAAATGGTTTGTAGGCCTGTCAGATCCAGTTCTCTGTTTCTGGTCACCTCAGAGATGTTTGTATGGTGTGGGGTAATGATAATTGTGGTTGCTTGGTTGAACTTGTGGAGACAACCTTAAGTTTATGTTATGCCAAAAAGATGCAACATCTTTGGATGAATAAGATATAATCTTAAGATTTGGTCGGACAAAATTGGTGAGATGCAAACATATAAGGCTGTTAGTTGGAATGTTACCTACATAAGAAACATGGTACTGACTTAAGAAAGCCTCAGTCTTCCAGACCACTTTCCACACCCATCAGAGGACCCTGTACAGAAGGGGGTGGATGGTTTACCAAAAGTTGTTTTTACAAGTGTTACAATCTACACATGTGAAGTGAAATCCCCATAAATCTTGTTTAAGAGAAACCTCACCCCACAGTAGGGTTGTAGTTACTGTAAATCTTGAAATGTTTGCTAGTGGTTTTATTTGCATGTAGTGATGACCTTTACTACGTGAATTATGACCATGCAAATATGCATTAAATGTATCACAAATGTACTACAGAATGCAAATGCAACTTAAGACAATCAGAAAACTTCTTTTTCCATCTACTGCAATACATTACTTTATATAATACTTCATCAAACTGTTTATACCATGGATACCAACATATACTTTATAAGCAACTCACAAGAAGATGACTGACTATGGGAGATTACAACATTCTGTAGTAAGCTGTTGCCACATGCTTTAAATGACTTTCCTTATCCTCTTTATCAAAAGATCTGAAATAGCATACTCTTGCATGGCTGCCATTAACTCAACATCCTGAAAGAAGCAAACCTTCCTGACTACTCTTTCAATGCATATATCCTTAGATGTTTATCTTATCTGTCACAACTATAGAGTCAAAAGTAAGCTAGCTTGGAATCATATGACAGTGATAAAAAGCATCTGCACTTGATCGAAAAAGTTTCTTTATCGTCAAGTTTACGGTCTAATGTAACTCTGCCTGCAAGCTTGAATCCCCCCTGTTGAAGCCAGCCTGGGGTTATGAATCAAGCTGCACATTTTGTTTCATCACTTTATCCAGCCATCTGACAGCTGTCTGAAGACTTTCAAAGATTTCAAAAGTTGGCAAACTGTTGAATATATCAACTGTCACGTTACCTTTCAACAGCCTTGTCTGCTTCATGGTTCTTTGCCAAAAGTTATACTACAGTACCATGAAGGCAAAACTTTTCATGTCATGTCAAATGCAGCCTGAAACTCTGTAAGGGTTTAAAGCGATCTTTTGTAACTGTCAAAAGATAAAATCTATTTCTGAGTTTCAAAAGCATTTTTGCTGAAAAATATTAAGTCAGAGAACATGTGAACCCTTCAAGGTTCCTTCAAGTTGCCTCATTAGTCACAACTTACTGTAATCAGTCTTGATGTCATTAAGATAAACAAGTCTCAATTCAACTTGATACAAAGTTCATACTTAGATAGTTAGAAAAGATTTGCTAGACACTGTCTTCCTTCCTTTCTCATACAGTGTGCAGCACAGACTTATGGTGGTTTAATGTAACAGTTATATTCTCTTATCCTCTTTCTTCTTCCCTCTCCCTCTCCCCTCCTCTCTCTCCCCCTCTCTCTCCCTCTCCTTTCCTGCTCATCACTGCCCAGCAACGAGGCGAGCTGTCAGTGTCCTCTCCTCCTCCATTCTCTCTGTTAATTACTGAATTGAGCCCCCTTGTTTTCCACATGCAGGAGCAAGCATTTGGAGAACTTGAGAAGAACAGTGACAAGGATGTTGGCTCAGTGTCTGAGTATGAGGATGGAACCCCGCCTGCCCACCTGCACGAGCTCCTGTCCTCCCTGCAGAAGCACCTGCTGGCCTACTGTCATGTCAACGCCCTGGATGAGGTCAGTCCCTGCTAGCTGTAGCATCTTAACTTCTGATTTATGTCCCTAGATTACTAAAAGCGCACTAGAGGGCTTGTTGCCAATAGTTGAGAACATGTACATGTAAGTGCCATTTTGTTTCAAGGGTAAATATAGATTTGGGGGACATTTTTCATTGCCTAAGGAACAAGTGTGTTTGCAATAGAAAGCAAATTAAACCTTAAAAACTATTCATTACATGTAGCAATATTTTCAAATACATTATTATACAGCCTTGTTGATGTGAGACCCTCTGTAATGCATGTATTTTTTGTGTTGTTTTGTTTAGAGTTCTCCGACGGTATCCCTTCTGCACAAGCACCTGTCCCTCATGCTTCCCCACGCTGGCGAGGTGCTATCACGCTCTGCACAGCTCCTGCAGGACAGCGCAGCCCAGGGACAGTCAGCTGTCAGAGACAGGCTGGGAGGTGAGATTAGCCAAAGTTGATCCTGCCAAATCAAATAAATTCTTGAGAGTGTTTCAAGTGCTATAGGGAAAGAAGGACTTATGCCTGGAAACTCCTGTATGTAGCTCCCTTTCCACCCAGATGTGCTATACAAGACAGCAGCTTAGGTCATACCTGTTTCCTCTAACCCCCTAAGTCTATACTAAAACTTTCAGGGAAGAAATGTTTTCAAGGAAGTTAACTACTAGTAGGCACTTTAACACTTTTCCCATTTGGGGCCTCCGTGCTTCAAAATTGATTTGTAAAGGAACTATTATACCATCTCAGTTTTAAGTCACAGTCTTTTGATTCTGACTGACAGAGAGAGATCTAGAGAGAGCTCTGCAACCTGGACATCACCTCCTCTCTTTTTCCCTTTCACTGCAGACGTGCTGTACAAGTCAGCAGCTGGCAGCATGCTGTCCCAGATGATCCACTCGCTGCTGCTGCTGCCGGTGACGATCGTGCGGCCCATCCTGGCCCACCTGCTGGCGCTGCTGCCGTACCTGGACAGCCTGAACCGGCTCTTACCGGCCGCAGCCGTGCTGGAGGACCAGGAGCTGGAGTGGCCTTTACATGGTAGGCTACCATCATCATCATCATCATCGGTCGGCTGCTGTGCAGGCGACTGCAAATTTCCTCCATTTCCCCTGTTGTTAGCAAGGTCTGAAGTCTGTTTTGGTTGGTTATTGTAATCTCCCAGAAGCTGTTGGATGTATGGTATGGTATGGTATACAACGCTTTCATATCTAGCTAGGACAACAAAGTTGTTTAGACACAACACAATCATGTACACAATCATGATGACCAATACATACTTTGCACTGTAGCTAGGTGTTGCTGCTGCAGTGTGAAGAATGTTTGAAAAATATTTTGAAATATTGAAATACCAAGGTAACAGTTACTCAAGCAACTGGATAGATCATAAAAACTCATTCCAAGTAGCATCCACTACCTTTTGTTAGTGACATTCTGAGAGAGATCTGTAATCGACAGGTTATTTATCCAAAAATAATGAATTAATATGAATGTCTATCCTGCTCAGCCACTCCAGAGAGTATTGACCCCTCCGCGGCGCCCATGGCCCAGCCCTCCAAGTCCTGGGTGTGGCTGGTGGACCTGGAGCGGGCTGTCGGGCTGCTGGTCGGGCGGTGTCTGGGGGGGATGCTCGTGGGGATGCCCCCCTCCGCGGACGAGAAGGAGACCGGCGGATGGATCTCTTCTCCACTCTTCTGTAGTGGGCTCGAGATGAATGCCCAGGACATTGGTATGTAGCTTTAAAGTTAATCTGAGTTTGTAAAATACATTTACGAGAAGCTTTAAACTGTTCTCCAACTCATAGAATTACCCACATTTCTACCAAATCGCTCATTCTTCTGACGATTTTTAATCTATTGTGGACAGCACACGTGAACAAAACCAAGCAATCATAGCAATTGGGTATAAAAACTGAGTGATTTGGCCTAAAATTTTGGTGATTCTTGCAGTTTAAAATTTCTCAGAATGACAATGGTAGGTGTTACTTTTCTATTCCAGACTAACAGTACTACATGTACGTATGCTGGCTCAAAAATAGTTAAGTTGAGCCAAATAGCGAGAATGATTTGCCTCCATTGGGCTAACGCTTCATTTGTCCACCACGCTCATCCCCAGTGCTGCAAAGAAACCATAACTATTTTCTAGATTGTACCTCATCAGGGGACTTTTGGTGTGTTCCCTATTCTACAGTGATAATCCTCAGCGTAGTGTCAGAGTCTGTCGCATCAGGAGGTACAGAACACAACCTTGGGGACTACAATCTGCCCACCCCCCTGCTGCAGCTAGTGGACCAGTCCAGTCTCCTGTCCTCCACTCTATGGAACAACATGCAAGACTTTGCCAGGAGCAAAGGTACTGGTTATCAGAAAAAAAAAGGAGTCTGTGGTTGGGGGGGGGGGTTGGGGGGGTATTTGCTTGTGTCGTAAGTATTTGAATGACAACATGTGGGTGTGAGTACTATGTCACTCCAGATAGACAACATAAGGTGCATCATAACCACTGTTCCCATACAAAGAATATTAATCCTTGTTGTTGTGATGTGTTGCCAGACTGGGACACCAGTGAGTTGACGGATGACCCTGTGCTGGACACCGTGTCACGCATGCTGCTGGCATGTCTGCTGAAGCACTGTGGTCTGCTACAGGTCGCTTCTCAACCTCACAAGTAAGTCCATGTTTTATTTTGTCAGTGTCCTTTTACACCTATCTATCGAACCTTGATGTCTCACAGGACATGTAGTATGTAATAGAGAACCAGCCAGAAGCCTCCTGGTTTGGACTCCTGATACAAAGAGAAGGGCTGGCCATTCAATGACAGCATGAAACTCATAGAAACAGAAACTAATCTTGAAGGACATGAAATTCTCTCAGCAAAGAATGACAAACAATACTGGAAGCTAAACTTTGGTTGCCACACTTCTTTGGAAGAGGGCTGATGATGATGATTATGGGCCTCCCCTCACAGCATTAGCCAGTCATCAATAGCCACTTGTCAAAATGTGTAAGTTTCAAGCAGGTGTTTGTAAAATACTTCCAAATTGTTCCAGGGGTACCCCAGGCCGTGGGTTGCTGGAGGTGTACAGATGTGTGTACAAAGTGCGCAGGAAGCTGCTGGCTAAAAAGCCTCTGTCTGTCCCCGCCTCCCCCAAAGACATGGACCCTCCCACGGAAGGTGTGGACAAGCCTTCTGATGAGGAGGAGCTGGAGATCGATGAGAGGGATGAGGAAGAGCAAAGGGACAGAGATGAAGATGGTAAATCTCTTATTTTCTTAAATCTCTTTCACTATTCTTTATTTATTCTTTTTATTTGTAGATTTGTGCAATTTTGTAGCTCAATGCATGAACATGAACTGTAGCTAATAACTACATGATATTTGACTCATTTGTGCAATATGATCGTAGAAAGAACTATTTGTCAGGTTATATTTCAGGTTATATTACTATTCAGTAATCTAAGCATCATTACAGCCAAATCTGTACAAGGGACCACCCCTACATAAGGTCCACCTGGCCAGTGATGCCACTTGTTGATGGTCCCTTAGTTAATTTTTCTAATTAAGCATTAAAAATCCTGTCTTTAGTGATCTTCTGTTCACATAGACCAGATTTTATTAGCCCCCTTTGTAGTTTTAGTTACTATATTAATTAGACTGATTTATTTTGCACATGCCTAGTAGGTTTGGAGAAGTCTCAGGGTAAGGATGAGGAGGTTCCCCCTGAGCCTGAGGTGGAGACGCCGTACCCGTCCCTGTGTCAGGCCCTGATCCAGCGCTGTGTGTTCCTGCTGCTGGCCGTCAGACCCTCCTGGCCCAGTGAGGAGGAACTCCTCTCACTCAGTCCACCCAAAGGTTTGGACATATTTCATCACTATCTCGTGGTTTTGTTTTCAACATTCTCAAAAACCTGATAATGTAGTCTGCAGCCACACCCTGACCATGTTTTAATGGTCCCACCACACTCACTCATTGAAAAGACTTGGGGTCCATCCTGGTGTGAGTGGATCAAACCTTACAGTTCAGTCTTAGTCAGCTTGTGTTTACTGTACAAAACTGGTATGTTATACTGAAAGGTGTGTTTACCAGTTATCTGTCATGCGAAATTAACAAACAAGCAAACAAACAAACAGTACAGGCAACAGATTCTGTCTGAACTCCCTGCAGGGCTGAAGACTGGTTTGAAGGAAGCAGGAAGAGCTGAAAACCCACCGGAGGTTGCCCACTATGAGTCTTCAGGCAGTGAGGATGAGACAACAATGGCCTTGGCAGCCAGACTGCCGGTAAGTCAATGCAGCATGCAAAGAAGTTATGTTAAAAAAGAGATTATTCATGTTATTATTCATAAAACATCAAAATATTCAATGAGCAGATGTTGAAATGTACATGTACATAGTTCATATGAAATGATTTACTACGAAATATGAAAAACCTTCTTTTGTGTGACATGTAAGCTTTTGAATTCAACAAGTTGTAACTTGTGTATGTTTTCACTTTGGTCCTCCACCTGACCAATGTGACCACTTCTTTGGTCCCTTAGGTGATTTTTCCCTTTGATACAAGCATGCTGTCTACAATGACCACCTGTACACAAAAACCACATTTTATCAGTCCCCTGGGTGGTCTTCTTGGGCAGTTTTGACATTGATCTAAAACGATACCATTACAGGAAGGGCTGCTGTCCTCAGCTTCCTCTGAGGAGGATGATCAGAGACAGGATCACTCCCACGGCCCCGACCGATCCCTCACCGCTGTCAGAGAGGCTCTGAAGCGCCTCAAGTGGAGACAGCATCGTGTTGGACTTACAGGTGCAGTAGGCCTCATCTCTCCTTCAGTATAAGTACAAATTAAATTTTCCAGGTGAAGCACAGGTACAATCTGGCATTTACATGTAGATAGTAAAATTTTACGAAGTTGTTTGGAAAACCCAATGTACATTAATTTTGTAGTATGCTGTGTTGATCAGACAGAAAGAGGTAGAAAAGGTGTCTGACTTGTGACTTTATTTAGTGTAACAAGTACATGATTGTACATCTACATCAAGAAGTCTTTACTTAATTCTGAAGATACTATTAGCCAGTGTTTAACCTTTTCCCTGCTGAATAGCACTGTAATCAATACTAATTTGGTGTCCATGGCTACCTTAGCATGTTTTAACATAGAACTGACTTCTGAAATCCCTTTCCCAGCCCCCGGTGACATAACCCATGGGTCCCAGTACATGCGTCTGCTGCACCAGCTGATGGACACTGTCGTGGCGTTCGCCTGTGACGAGCCACTGGCTCAGTCAGCACAGGAGACAGAGGAGGATGTGAAATGGGGGACGGACCCATGTATGGTTACCATGGCAATGTGTCATCAACAAACAAGGGCAGAGGTCAGTTTTTTTGTTTGTTTGCTTGAGCTATTCTTTGTTCATCAGAAGGTCAAATTGACCTGCAGGCCACTTTTCATTGAGGTCATCAGTTAGTGTTGTAGGTTGTATGTTTTGTCTTTGAGTTTTGGAAATGTTTGCATTGGTTTTCTTTTTGTAGTAGTAGTTGCCCAAGGGCTATAGAAATGGAGATGGTCACCACCCCTATACACCAAAGGGTGTGGGAAGGATTTAACTTAACTACTGCAAGACACATTTTGTTTCTGATAACAGACCTGAAAAAATTATGGTAGGCAACAAAACTTCCAACAAAAGGCAATAGTCAGAATGTTTTTTGTAGGGTTCGTTGGTTAATTGGGAACACCTGAACATTTTTTCTTCACCCTAAACTTACTGGGAACACAACATTTTACTTCGCATTTCTAAACTAACAACTTTATTTTTCCCTGACAGATGAGGCTAGAATCCCTGAACCAGATCCTGTCGCTGCTGTCATCCACTGAGGAGAAGACGGACCAGTCCACCCCAGCATCCCAGTACCCCTTCCAGTCCAGACCCTCCCCTGCCTTCAACTGCACCTCCCTGCTCGACTCTGTACACCTGCAGTTCCTGGCAGGGTGCTTCGGACTGGGCATGTTAGGGCCGGTCATGGTGGGGGGGCACAACACATCGCAACTTCATCACTACTCTGTAAGTCCTGATTGTCTGTTCATCTAGAATCTTTAGTTGTCTAGTTGTCTTTTTGTAATAACATATCTCAACTTCATCACTAGACACTACTCAGTATGTATTGTTTGTTTGTTATATTTCAGTCCATACCATGGTATGGATGAAATATATTGTGTTCTCTCATGTTTCTTCTCCTTCTCCTCCTTCTCCTGCCAAACAGTCAAAGGGATTCAACTCCGCCATCATTCAGCCAAATGACTTGAAATTTGGCATGGAGGTAGAGTGGGCCAATACCCCCAGGCGTTTTTTTCATTTTTTTGATATATGCCTTTGAAAAACTTTTATGAAGGTTTTTTGGGGCATTTTTCGCCAAAAAATGGATTTTTGGATCCTGAGCCCTGGTTTTACAACCAAATGATCTGAAATTCGGTATAAGGGTACCTTGAACATGTGTCTACAGAATAGCAGTCACATATTTGGCATACACCACTTCCAAATGACTCATTTGGGGGACTTTAATGGCTATTTTCAGCAAAAAAAGGGCCAAAAGTGCTGTACCCGTTCCATGTTCTATCTAAAGAATGGCCGGTTCCATCCATGGAACACGTGTTCCATTGCGGGTTACCTGAGGTCACATTGCACCTAAGTGGTGCGTAATGACCCACACATTCAATTTTATGTGCCTAAGACCTTCAAAATGTATCAAATCTCATGATTGTTAGTTTTTGCATACCTGTAATAAGATTAGTAAAGCTTTCGAGATTCAAAGTACTTGTTGTTGCATCTTTGTTCTCATATACTAGTAGCTACTATTCAATTCATTTATTTGAGAGCCTTTGCCAGTTTTGCACTGGGGTGAGTTTGGAATAGTCCACTTTTGCGTGGGAGGAAGATGGACTGAAATATGCTGTATTTGCTCCCAAGCAAATATCGGCCTTTCTAGTTTGTTTAGCATCTCCTTTTGGTTAAATACATCATGTACTTCCTGGAGTCATTTTCAAGATGTTACTTTCTTCTTATGTTAGAAAACCTAACGTAGCCTTTAGTTTTACACCATATACATGTGTGAGAGGTTAGTTCAGCACCAAGGACGGCGGATATGGAGCCTGTCCATAATCCCTGTCCTTGGTGCTGAACTAACCTTTCATACATGTATATAGGTCAAATGCTCCAGGTCAAGTGAGTTAGTGAGTGAGTGAACAAGTGCATAACACAGTCATGTACCTCTCTCTCTCCTCCCCAGGATGGCATCAAGGCAGCCAGTAGTACCACTCAGCAGGAGATCCAGGCAGCTGTGCACAAAATCTACAAGTACCTGGTCATGACCCTGTCTAGGTCAGAGTCACAGGAGTCAACACACAGCAACAAAGGTACAGGAGCTTTTTTTGTGTGGAACATTAGTTTTTTGAGAAGGCATTGTGTGGCAGCATCCTTTATACTGAGATTCATAAGTTATCGCCAGGGGAAATACAGATAGTATAAGTACAAGGACAGGAAATCAAAGATTTCACACCTCCATGAAGTACTTAGAGTCATCTGGAATTTTATTCATTGTTCTGAGTTTCTCACTGATTCTGTGCATAATTCTTGATCTCTTCCTACCAGCTGTAAATCATTTTGATCTCCAATTTGATCTGCTTGTCAGTCTGTGGTTACACCATTTCTTGTCACACATTCTCTGACCCTACTGTATCTAAATAACTAGGCACACAAACACCGAAAACAAAACTTCCATACAAGAATGTAATGGATTGATTGTGTTGAACACAAGTAGTAACTTCATCAAAATGTATCAAGCTGACATGACATGGTTTCATCACAGGAGCCCAGGACAGACTTCTCCTCAGCACCATCTTTGCCCTGAGTGTGAAGTACCAGCCTGTGGACGTGTCCCTAGCTGTGTCCAGCGGCCTGCTGCCCCTCCTGTCCAAACTGTGTGGCACCAGTCCCGCCCTCTCCCACCCCCACCAGCTCATCCTGGGTGGTACGTCCCAGCTGTCCCTGGTGCTGCAGGTAGCCAGCCTCAGGCTGCTGCACATCCTGGCAGTTACAACAGGGTAGGTGTCACTTTTCCTAACAATTATAACATCATATCCCCAACAGACTATCAACAGAAAATAATGGAAGCTTGTTGCCTCTCTACACTTCACTTCACACAATCAGTAAGTTGACCATCTCTGAAGCATCAATGTTTCTGACTTACAGTGCCTGTAGCTTAAACTTAGTTCAGTGGCAAGAAGTGGTCTTTTTCACTGAGCATATTTGTAAGAAAAAAGAAAAAAAGTCCACCATAATGAGTAGCAATGTATATTTTAGCACTTTCCTCTGTCATTGATAGAGTGTAATGTCACTTGTGAATCTCAAGATATTTCATATTTAATATGACATACGAGTACATGCAATTGTTACATTCCAGTTTTTTTCCAATCTGTAGGACGTATGCAGACAAGCTGAGCAGCAGCGTGGTGTCGGCCATGGTGGACCTGTTGTGCAGTCAGATGAGCTCCCTGCTGGAGGCTGCGGGAGGACAGAATGTCACGGGGAGGAAGGAAGAGTCAGAAGGTTTGTTTGTTTGTTTGTTTGTTTGTTTTATTTGGATCTTCCTTAATGTTAGAAGGTGAGATTCACTGGAGAATCCTGTTGGAAGCAGCACTGCCCATTTCCTGGCTCTGGCAGTGCTGCTTGCTCATCATACACTCAGCTATGTTACATGCAACAGTTTTGAAAGGAAACTCCAGGCATAAACCATATGTATTTGACTTACACCCTATGCCCATTAGAGTATTGGATAAGATTGGTACTTTACTGTTACTTTTGTATTTGCCGTATTAGCCCAATATGGCATGAATGTAGTACTACAATAAAGGCTATTACTATCCTTACAGACAAGCCCAAGCTATCCACTCGGCAGATGAGACTTGCGGAAACTGCACTTGGTGATTTCCTTGTGTTCCTGAGACGTGTGGCCTCCTCTCGCTCCGTTCAGCTTAAGATGGCATCCCGACCGTGGACCAACCTGCTCCTGACGATAGCAGGATCAGCACAGCTGGAAAGCACTTCAGGTAACTTTAATGAATGGAATCCTTTCATTAGTATGTATAAGAACTGTTTTCTCAAGAGTACATTGTATTCTATGTGTCGTGTATGTCGATTGTAACACATGTTTTCTGTAGAATTTTTCAGCCCTTCCCCAGCTGAATTTTCCAGTGGTGATGCCTATAGGCTATATAGATTTTTTAGATAGATTTTCATCACCTCTGTGTCCTCCAGCTTTACATGTTGATATAAAGTAATAAAAATGCTATAATTTTCTAGCCCTTCCCCTGGTGAACAACCTGCGTACACGGCTGCTGGCACTGCACCTGCTGGAGGCTGTGTTACCTGCCTGTAACCCCGCCACGGATGGACAACACATCAGACAGGTGGGGGGCTAATCTTACCGTTACGGTACTAGAAATCAAAGATTTTATACCTCCTTGAAATATATATGTACATGTACCTCAAAGTTCTTGTTTTATTCATTGTAAATGTGAATCTCTCTTTCATCTAACTGAAATCATAGCTGTCATACATTTTGTACATTGTGCCTCCACAAAATACATAGAGCTGTTGTGAATTATTCCTTACTTAATTCATTATTGTGAACTTCTCGCTGATTCTGTGTAGTGCGCATTTTTCTCACTGACTTTCCTAAGGCATCCTAATGAGGTGACCTTTTCTGGGATCTCATCTGTCCCTTAGACAACTGTTGGGGCACCACATATCTGACAGCCAGTTTAACTTTCTCCACCGTTCATGGTTTTCTATTTCTTCTTTCTGTGATACAGTAGATTAACAAGCAATTCACTGCACCCATAGCCTGGAACCTTTACCCAATTTACTTCAGGCAATGCTAATGTTTGAGATCAGTAGTTCCCCAACCAGTGTTTGTGTCTACTTCAGGTGTGTGACCAGCTGTTCAGCCTGCTGTCCACGTCGATGTGGGAGACCCCGCTGGCAGCCTCCCAACAGGCACTCAGGCTGAAAGAGGAAGAAATCGACAAGAAGCTCCTCAAGCATCAGAACCCAGGTAGGCTGTACATTGTACAATGTACATTGATTGTAGTAACTGGTCAATGATGAAGTCTTGTTGAGGCATTCAGAGATTGATATTTAGAAATTGCCCAAATTCTCTTGGATAGTATGTATGGTGGAGGTCCCGTGTTTTAGAAGAGCCACACCTCAAGCATGATAAAGATTCCATCGGACTTACCAAATAAGAGTACTAGGTGTCCATCCCATTGTGAGTTAGCTTGGGTATCATCATGGTTAGTTGGTGGTGGCAACTATCGGAGTGGATGTAAGCTGACCAGGCTAGTTTTAAGTGGTATAAACCTTACAGTCTGGTCTTTATCTTGAAAAAGTGATTATATCATAATGCTAATCCATCCACAATGTTTGGTAAATCTCAATAAATAAAAGTCTGTCTGTCACAGATGCAGGATCTCCTGATGCAGGCTGGGAAGAGGAGAACATGGCTGTACAGGAGGCGAACTTTGACCCTGAGCGCACGGTGTGCTGCTCAGTGGAGAACGGTCACACCCTGGTGCATGGAGCAGGGGGGAGGGGGTACGGACTGGGCTCCACTGGCATCTCATCAGGCTGCTGGCAGTGGAAGGTAAGGAAAAAATACAAACATTTAGCCAGATACGGAGAATAATTTGCCAGGGGAGTTTGGCCACCATTATAGGGGTTTGTCATCATTACCCTTACCGTGGGCTCACTCTTTATCACTTTATCTATTTATCAATCTTGGATACACATGCATGGGTAGTCCCCAACTGGGGCTGATTTCAAAGAGAACCCATAATAAATGGAATGCAAACTTAAGGAGGTCATAAATAATGTGAGTGAAGTAAAAATTATTATACAAACAAATGATATAAATAAATAATGATAAACTAATTCTTGTTACAAAATCTAAATCCCTGAAAACATTATTTCAGTTCCTGATCATTAAGGAGAACAGAGGTAACGAGGGGACGTGCGTGGGCGTGTCCAAGTTCCCGGTGCAGGACTTCAGCCACCGCACCACGGCGGACATGTGGCTGTACCGCGCCTACAGCGGGAACCTGTACCACAACGGGGAGCAGTCTCTGGCCCTGCCCAGCTTCACACAGGGGGACTACATCACCGTGGTGCTGGATATGGAGGCCAGGACCGTGTCATTTGGGAAGAACGGAGAGGTGATCTTACCTTAGAATGTCAGATCATTACACAACTTAGGCCACAGAAGGCAAACTTTATGGATGACATTTGCAGCTGCATTGAGTTTTTAGACTTTAGACTGACAGTATGTACCTTCAACATCACAGGAACCCAGGCTTGCCTTTGAGGACGTGGACTCCACTGAGCTTTTCCCAGTCGTGATGTTCTACAGCAGCAACCCGGGGGAAAAGGTATGGACAGGATATCAATGATTATGAAATAAATAGATAGATAAATGAATAATGAAAAAAGGAACCTTGGAATACAGCAGAACAGTGGACATAGGAAGATCAACAACAACAGAAACAGTTAACTGTGCCTTTCACACTTTGCTAGGTGAAAATCACAGACATGCAGGTGAGAGGAGCCCCCCGTGACCTGCTGCCAGGTGACCCCACCTGCGCTCCTGCACCTGCTGTTACATCTGAGGCAGCTGTCCAGCTTATTCGTACCTTACACAGGTGGGTAGCATTATAGAATTATGTGGCTATACAATGTAGGTGGCAAAGTGGTCTTGTGGTCAGGGTTGTTGACTCAGAACCTGAAAGTTCTGGGTCCAGTGTTATGTCCTTGGGATATTTAATTATGGGTTCACCACACCACGAAGTGGTGTGGTGAAACCATATTGCTTTTTCTGATGTTTCTTCTCCTTCTCCTTCTCCTTCTTCTTCTTCTTCTTCTCCTGCCATTTTTTAAATGGATTCAGCTTCTTCATTTTAGGGCCCAAGGTCCTGAAATTTGGTATGGAGGTACAGTGGGCAAATACCCCTAGGCGTTTTTTAAATTATTGTGATACAGGCTTTTAGAATGGTTTTATTTGAGTTTTTTGGCTGTGTTATAGCTAATGTATTACTGTGTTAGTGTGCCTTGTTTACCACGTTTGGGCATGAGTCATCACAATGGAATGCAGGGCATCAACCAATAGGCATGCAGCTTTCCTCTATACTTCTTGCTGATTGGCTGTTGGGATTTAACTTGATTAACACCTGCACAGAAGCATTTCCATACTGACAGTATGTCTGTATTCAAGTGTTTTGGTAGGTATTTCAAGCTTTCCTGCTCCAGCATTGGAATGCCGGGCATGGTACGTTTTTTTCTTATTTTGAAAATCAACAGTTTGCATTATGCAATTAAAAATCCTAACCAATAAAGTAGGGAATAGCTATCCAACTGTTGTTTTAGTTGTATTTTACTTCATATTATAGTTATATCAATGTAAATCATTGTTTTCCCTTGTGTTTCTCATTCTTTCCCTGCCATGTCGTAAAATGTGGTGAACCCATCGCTGTATTTGCTCCAAAGCAAATATTGGCCTTTCTAGTTTACACCTATTTCCTCACTTAACTCAGGTGAAAATGATAAAATAGCTTTGCTTTTTGGTTATGGGCGTCCTCTCGGATAGGGTGTAAAGCGTAGGTCATGCATTTGAGGAGAGCCACAACTCAAGGATGTTACAGGTCCCACCATAGTGGTTCAAAACTTACAGTCTACATGTAGCACAAAATTTTTGTATTGAAAGATACAGGCCTGACACTTCTTCAATTTAATTTTTACCTAAACAGACAGGAGGGTTGGACAGGGCACATCAACAACTGCATCATGGACAGACTTGGGAACATCAAGAGGCTGTATGAGATGACTCTCATGCAGGAGACAGACACTGGGACACCCAGGACCGTCGCTAAAATGATGGAACGAAAATCCACCGAGGAGGACAGCACTGGAGACAGTACAAAGGAGGAGGCATTAAGCAAGGATCAGAAGGAAGATGAAGAGAAGGCAGAGCCACAGAGTGGAGAGGGAGAAGTAGCTGAAGACACCACAGGGAAAGACGAGGCTGATAAGGAAGAAGCAGAGTCAAGGAGATCGCCCACGGTGGAAGACATCAAAGGTTTGATTAAGATTTATTTGCATCCACAAGTAGCTTGAACTTCAACTTTTCTTCCTGTAGTCCTCATATTGATACATAAAATCACATTATAATAAGAGACAGAGATTCAATAACTTTCCTGTCATGTTGTAGCCTGGGTGTCATCCTCTGTAGTTGCCTCCGGCATAGGTAGCTAACTGTAACTACAAAGGATGTCACCCAGGCTAGTTATGTTGTGTGTCATTCCATTGATGAAACACAAGTAGTAGACAAAGTGTTTCCTTTCAGCATTTAGTTTGCTGGAGTGTGTTGTTGTTGACCATGTTTGATACCGACTGTTCTTTGACTTTAAGGTTTACTAGACGAGAACCTCCAGCCTGCGGCTCAGGAAATGACCAGACAGGCCCCAGACATGCACCTGCTGGCACGGTTGTGTCGGGAGGTGTGGCCGGCCCTGGTGGTGATCGGCGGGGTGGACAAGGGCCTGCGGCTGGGTGGGCGGTGTGTGCACAAGCAATCGTCTCGACAGGCCACCTTGCTGGGGATGGTGAAGGAGGGCAGCACCTCGGCGAAGGTGCAGTGGGACGACGCTGATGCCACTGTCAGGTAAGATTATGTTTCAGTACCCTATATATATATTCATTGACTCATGTGGTGGTTTTGTTTGGAGAGAAAAATAGATTTTCACTGTGTTTTGAATTTGCAGTTAAAACGGTTGTGTTACCACTCACCTTTTCAAGGCCGTCGTTCCAAGGCCAACATAACAAAACTGGACTGTTTTTGTTCAGTGACACGCCGGTGACTAACCTGGAGCCTGGTGACTTGGTGCTGTTCGATGCCTACAAGCTGCAGGGCCTGACGGCAGACACGCTCCAGGACCTGCTGCACCTCACAGGGGTCGGCACAGATGACTCGCTGGTAGACAGGTGGGTCTGGAGGATAACAATCTCATACTTCTCTTTCTCATGGCACTAGAGCCACCTTGTAGATAGATGGAGAACTGCAGCAGCACAACTGTATAACAACTGTTACGTTTAGTTACTGGTTGTGTGTTTTTTTAACACAACCAGTACATAATCATCTGTTGATCTTCAGGGCTACTGAAGAAGAAGATTTTGACTGGGACATTATTCTAAGTATGTTCTGTTTCTCTGACTATCTGTTTTTGACAGCTGCCCGAAACCAACTTCGGTGGTATTCCTTGTATGCTGTCTTGCCGGTTGGGGGTTATGACTTTGTCACCAAAGATCTGCTTGGAGATTACATGTAGTTCAATGCACTGTGATTTCCAACACAAAAATGAGAAAATTTGGGTAAGTTTTAATATCTGTGTTGGAAATTATGGACAGCTTCATTCCTTTTTTCCTATACAGGGTATTCAACAGGACCCGGCCAGTCCGGCAGAAGACTGTAGAGGAGCAGCAGCAGGACCTGTTAGAGAAGAGCCTGGATGCAGACATTGCCACCGCCATGCAGGAGGATGGACCTGATGGCATCAAGGAAGAGGCTGGACAAGAACAACTTGTAATTGCCTAGTATATATAAGTCTGTAATCATCTATACCAGGATTTCTCTCAATGGATTCAAATAGCAAATTGAAGTAACAACCCTGCAATTGACAATATTTTTAGAAATCCCTAAACACTAGAAATTCCACCAACAAGAATTATAAATTAAAGCTCATTCTCATCCCATACTATATGTACATGGTCTTTTGTAAGGTAGACAAGTCTCATGGTATGGTTGTTGTTATACATAGTAGAACATGCTGTATTTTGTACTTTGTACAATTGCCGTGGTTATTTGTCCACATTTCACAGCCTGCAGCAGACAAAACAGATGGTGAAGACAAAGATCCAATACAGTCTGCTGAAAGCAAGTCGTCAGAGATGTCTGAAAGCAAAAGTGAGGAGGTCGACTTTTCTGAAAGTAAGAGTGAGGAACATCTAGATGAGAAGACGGAGGTTGCGTTCGAGGAGAGATCCACAGCAAGACCCAGGCCCCACATGTCATCAGGCTGTCTCAGCCTCAGCCAGGCAGAACTCATGGCACTACAACTGGCCTATCTACAGCTTGGGGCTCTCAAGGCATTGGGTACGTACCAAAACTCATGGTGAAGCCTTGTACAGGAGTTGTAGGTGGATCAGTGGGTCCACTCACAGCATGCAAGTGGCCACCTGCTCCAAACAAAATAATGTGTCAGCTTAGCAAGTCTTCTAGTGAGGCAGAGGGCTGTGTCCTGAAAGGTATATTATACGATTCTTGATGTTTGTGTCATTGGGAAAAATTATCTAAGGGACCAGCTAAAAGTGGTCACATTGGTCTGGTGGATCTTATATAGAGGTGGACAGGTCACTCATGCTACTACACAGTCACAAGCTTTGTCATTGTCACCAGTAGCTGACTCAAACCTCTTTGGACACGCATATGGGAACATGACCAGCATGGGTGCCAGAGTCACTACTCTTCTAACGTCACAAGAAGAAGAAGAAGTCATGGCCATGGATAGCTGGACACTGTTCTGTTTCATTACTTTTCACATCAAACAAGTTTTCTGTCCATTTCCACACTTGCAGGTGTTATAATGGGCTGTGGTAAGTATGCTGAGATGCTGCTGGTGCCCAAAGTCACGGGGGCAAGCCAGCAGCCCAAGCCTGCTGAGCCCTCGCAGGAGGAGGAACTGAAGGAGACGATGCGGGGAGTGATGCGGCTCATGGTGAACAGGGCCGTCACCGCCTCGCCCGTCAAGCGGAACGTCTCCATGATGGAGCTGGAGCGGGCGCACTCCATGCTGCTGAAGCTGGCTGTCAACGCTGCGGCAGAAGAGGGGTCAGATATAAGGACTAAAATAGGTAAGATATGGAGTAGGAGGTACATTCATAAAGGTTAGATATCCAGGTAGAGCATTATGGTTGTACAAAATAGGTCACGGAATGTCTCAATGATAGAGAGGTTTACACCATGCTGCTGAAGTTGGCTGTCAATGTAGCATCGGAGGGGTCAGATATACATGTAAGAACTCCTGGGGCAAAATTTAGGTAAGAGATGATGTAGGAGGAATGTCGATGAAGAGATCCAGGTAGAACATCACAAAATAAGTCAGGCAACTGGATATATTCTCTGAAGAGTCAAACATTTCAGACAGCATCCACTGTCTTTCATCAGAGACTGAGAATGTCACTGTTATTCTCTCTCACTGATGAAAGATAGTGGATGCTGTCTGAAATGTTTGACTCTTCAGAGGTTCATGACATTGTGATGTACATGTAGAAGGTAGATCCAAAACTTTGAATATAGTGTTCATCAGTTTGTTTTCAAGTGATAATTGTTACATGAAGAGAGACATTGATTGTGAGATCATGAAGTACTAAAATGATGTAAAAGTTATCATTTTGCCCAAGCCACTTTTGCCATCTCTTTCTGGTGTGAACCTGTTCTCCTGTTTCTCCTGTGTGTGTCCTCTGTGGCTCCTGGTCAGGCCGGAAACTTGTCATGGCCTTTAGGAAGAACAGAGGACCGTTCTCAAGCAATGAGAGTCAAGAGGGGGATCCAATCCAAGGGGGGTCCACCCTGGCCTGCCAGGGGGCAGAGGGGGGCCAGGGGCAAGAGCACCAGGGTAAGAGATTTCAGTGGAGACTTGTCGCATGGTTTGCAGCACTCCAGAGCCGTCATCTCCACTGCTTGAATGGCCCCATTTGAGTTGTATGATTTCACCACATGCAAAACAACTGTTGCACAAAAAAATTTCTACTACACCTAACGATACTCAGTTTGTTTCTACCATGATGAGAACTGTTCAAAAGTGCAGTTTGCGGATTGTTCGGATGATTGGCCATGCGATGCAGCCACATTGAACTTGGTTTTGTTGCATGCCAAATTTGTTTTATTGAATGCATTAGCTATAAGGGCTAATCTTCTTGTGGCTGCTCTGATTTTTAAATGTTTCTTGAGTCTGTAGCCTTTAAAAAAGTCCTCTTTGGCCTTTGCTAAAACAGGATTAATACAAGATTAAAGCTCATGCAATTGTACGTACAGAAGAAAAAAGGTCTGTTGCTCAGTTTTATCTACTGAAGATATCAAAAATACAAAAAACGTTCAAATATTATTCCCAAATCCATCAACTTGTCCTACTGTTACAATATCTAAAACTGTATTGTAGAGCAGACATTCAGTTGAATGCAAAGTGTATTTAAACTGTGTAAAAAAAAAGTTTATTCCCAACACCTTAACTCTCAGTTGTTTCCATGAATTCGGTAAATCACTAGATAATAAAGTTCTTTACCAATAACCAAATACCTTGCCATCAGTTATAGAATTACTAGAATCTGGTCTTGTTAGCCATTGATGTTGCTGACAAATTGTGGTCTTGACACCCAGCTATGTGCGTACACTTTCAGCGAGTCGTGCGCCTCTGTGCAGTATGGAGGATATAATGAGTGAGGCCGATGATAGCTCAGGCCACGAGGGTAAGGCTTCTGTTCCAGGGAGTGTTCACTTTTGACCTACAGGGACTTTGCTGACAAAGCCATATAGCCACATTCTTTCAGCTTCTCAGGAACAGACAAAGGTTCAAACAAACAAATAAACATTGTCAAGCAACTTCACACAGTAGCTGTTGTGTCCAAAGCCTTAGCCACTTTCTTTGAGCTTCTTGTGAATGACAACTTCCCACAGTTTGCAATACTTGAAAAAGAGTATCAGTGGTAACATAACGCTGCACATATATGATCACACACAGCTCCAGTCACTGTACTATACTGTCATTCAATTTTAAAAAAAGAAATTGAAGTATAGTGCCTGACCTGTCTGTGAAAGATGGGGAATGACAAAGGAAATGACATTATTTTTTAATGTGATTGAATAATTATTGTTTCTAATGAAAATGTGAATGTACATGTATGCTTGACTTTATTATTATTAATAGTAAAACAAGCTTATCTGGAATATCTCAAGTATTTTGTTGAGGGTAAAGAAAAACTTGCCTGCTATCATCAACATTTGATTCTGAGTTGGGAAGATTTCAGCACAGTACATGTACATGTATGCTGTTACAAAACTGAGAGAGCCTTTGCTAGCCAAGTCCTTTGTGCAAAGTTGGAACACTCTCTTAAGCCTGGTAGTCTGCCCAGTTTAACCACGAGAAGAGCCTGTTGGGCAAAGCCTGCTGTCATGGTGCTCGAGGTTGCTTGCAGTCACATCTCATGCAGTAATGTTTGACATCCCACTGCCTGCTGTTGTTGTTGTGACATTAACGACAGTACTTTTTGTATGACTGTGTTACCCCTTCTTTCAGGTGTACTGACATGGTAGTTGAGTAGATTCCTCTTTCTAACGGACCAATTTTCCCCCTCTTAACCATCACATGGGTACATGTAGGCCTTTTATTAACCTGGATACCAGCTGCAACCTCTCCAGCCTTCTCTGGACTGGTCTCAATACCAGTATTGAGGTTCTGTGTTTGAGGAGAGCCACACCTCAAGCACATTTAAGATCCTCCACCCTTATTGAAAAGAGTAGTGGTCCATCCTGGTGTGAGTCTGGAGATTAATAATGTTTACCTTACAGTCCAGTCTTACACAGCTTGTACTTACTTCACAAAACTGGTGTGTTACGACTAATGTAAAGGCAGTTTACCACCTATGCAAAACAAACAAACAAACAAGAGCTCCAGGTTGGTTTCACTGCAGACTCTGGTATCCAGGTTAGCCTAACATGAACAGTAGAACAGCAACAGCATCCACAGAAGAACCTTTATTTGGAAGATGCATGGGAACAACAGTCCTGTAGATGATGGTATTACATACCCTGGTAGTCCAATTGTGCCGAGATGCATGTGACATAAAACAGGTTAGATCAGTAAAAAAATGGAGTGGAAGGCTAGGATTGAACCTTCAGCACTCTAACTTACCAGTGTACCTCGCACTGTACCAATTTTGTTTACAGTGCTAAATGTTGACATATGAAAATTACATATACTTGAGTCTCTCTATATGCCAGATATGTTGAACACTGTTTGCATATTTGATGAATTGGATTTAGGGTTGTAGTCAACAATGGATAGAAACATAGCATTCACTTCATTTTTAGAAATTGTACGTGACGCTGTATATTTTTAGTCGAAAATTATAAATGAATTTAATGACATGCACACAATATATTACTTTAATTTTGTAAGTCACAAAAAATCTATAGATTATGTTTAACCAGTAACGATAATGTATGAAACCATATACACTACAGACAGACTTACAAGCATTCTCAAATGTCTCATGTGACATGTCAACAATATGAAAGTGAAACAAGAAGGAAACCATGCTAAAGACACAAGTGTTAAGCATTCATATCAATTACTTGGTTTCAACAGTGTCAAAATTGAATCTGATTGCAGGTAAGTTTTTACGTATGTCTTAACAAAATATATCCCGGTAGTGTCTGAAGAATTGGCCCTCCCTGCCACTTGTGGTCCATGTCCATGTGTTGAACCCGTCCCCTGGTCCTTCCAGAGCTGTTGGAGGAGTATCAGATCAGGAAGAGACAGCAGGAGTCCTCCGCCTCAACTGTGAACACCAAGTCCTCCATAGCAGCGACCTCCACATCCTCCGTGGGTACCATGACGACCGCCTCGACGGCACCGCTGGCCTCGCGTGAGGAGCGGCTGGAGCTCCCCGGCGTGACGGACGAGAGGCCGAACAGCTCGGGGTCCTACCCAGCTGCCGGGCGCAGGCCAAGGTCAGCAAATTATGAGCAATTAACCTTCAACTTGCTTAGGTAGCCATTTGGCATCTGTATTGGTTGTGAGGCAATTCAGTAGGGTGTATTAGCTCATACTATAATTTTTAGATTAATATGCTTTTATCATCAACATTTTTTTCATGTTTAGCCAGTCATTTCAAACATTGCAGATATGTCTTACCAGTAGGGCAGTAAATTTGCAATAGACTTTTTTTTACATTCAGTCACAGTATGCAATACAACATACAGTCAAACCTGTACATGTTCATTCAAGTGACAAGTGTAGAGGATCACCTGGCCATTGATATACATGTACATGTACAAATGTACAGTCAAATGTGACCACCTCTACATAAGGACCACCTGGCCAATGTGACCATTTTTTGGTGAACCTATTAGATATTTTCTTCAAACAAACATAATGTACACATGTACACAGTGGCCACCTGCCCACATAGACCAGCTTCTATTGGTCCCCTGAGTGATCTTCTTGGGCAGTTTTGACTGTAATTTTTTTAATTTTTCACCGCATAATGAGTGCTCCTAGTTGATATGCTTCCCTGCTCTCCTGCAGCCTGGGGCGCATAATGCGAGGTCCCACCCCCCACATGCGAGCAAGCGTACCGCCTCCCCTGGTCATCCCCCCTCGCCCACGACGCTCACAGACCCCACCATATTTGTCTCCTAGGACGCGGTCGCCTCCGTCGTCACCGACCTTCGGTGGTCCTCCACCACCCATGAGGTCTCAGCTACCTCCACGCCCACCGTCACGGATGGAAGGTTAGCTGCACTCCTTTCAGGATATTGCTCCATTGTCCTATCAAATGTTGTGTGGAGTAGTAGTATAGTACATGTACATGTAACTGCTTCCGAATACCACAAGGTTGCAGGAAGGTGTGCTGCACCTCTTTTAGTATTGTTTTGCTCCAGTGTTCTATCTTTGAAAATGTTGTGTGGCACACAATACATGGTACTACTTTTAAGAATTTTGAATTGTTACCAAGCTTCCAAAAGGCTGTAGTGTAGGTGCAGATACACCAAAAAAAAAACCTCGATAGGAAAGAGCAATAGGATAGTGCAATTCATTGCCGTTATTATTGTGTGCCCAGCCCCTGTAGCTCCCCCCCGCCCCCGGTCTCCATCCCCCCACCCCCGCCCATCGCCCCCCAGCTGCTGGAGATGGGTTTCACCATGAAGCACATCCAGCGAGCCATTGCGGCCACTGGTTCGCGCGGCGATGCGGACCCTCGGCGTGTGGCGGTGCTGGCGACGTGGATGGTGGAGCACCCGTGTGAGGAGGAGGAGGAGGCAGCATCAGGACCGGAGGGAGCTGAGGCACAGGAGGGGAGAGGGGCAGACGTTGCTCGGGAGGACACTCCATCCGACAGGACTGACAGGAGGTACGGAAATTCAGCTTGTCTTCACAGTAGCAAAATTTGAATTCATAGTCTGAGGCAAATGGACACAATTTTCATGGTGGCAGCAAGTGCAGGGAGGGGAGGCAAAAGACTAATGATTTGATAAAGGTAATGATATGTTCATGGTACAGAAGAGACTGTGAAGACAGTGAACATTTAAGTACCATGAAAAAAATCAGGAATTACAGTATGGCCCCAGCAAGTAAATTTTATAGATGACATCCTCAACCTGAAAAGTTTTTACGGTAAGTCTTGTAGATTTGAGATTTGAAGAAAGGCAACTAGGTTAAAATTTGTAATTAGCTTTCTACTTTAGTCTGTGTTGTTTGCCAAAATTTATTTTCCTGTGCACTTTAAAATTTAGCTGCACCCATATAATGTTACACATATTACAACTGGTACACCTACTACCAATGCACCTATTCCTGAAAATGAATGTCAAACCCTGCCTTTATAACCACTCCACCCCTTGTTGAACACCACAGCCCTGAGCCGGAGGAGCGACAGGAGCCACGGCAGGAACCACGACCTGACCCGCCCCAGAGAACCCTGTCTGGGCGCAGGAGCATGATGGGAGAGAGGTCAAGGGGCATGGCGGACATACGGAGCTTCATGACCATGACCAATCAATCTGGTGAGAGGCACAGAACTCGAAATGGTAACAACAACCAAACAGTTATTATAGAAGGGATGTGAAGGTGATGGTTGGATCAGTGAGAATGATGGTGTATATGTATGCGTGTGTGTGGGTGTGTGTGGGTGTGAGTGGGTGTGTGGGTGTGGGTGTATCTCATTCTAAGGGTGGAAGAAAACATAAAATCAACAGATAAACATTGGAAGGTCATTCCAATAAAACCTTTCCGGTGTCTAACAAAATCAGGTGGCCAAATGCTTGAAGACCTGAGCTTCCTCCAAAATTTTAGAAACAAATATATAGTGACTATCTCACTCCAGAGCAAATTTACTAAAAAAACACAAAAACCAGCTATATACCATTCAGTAGCTAGAGACTTTAACTTGAGAAGTGTACCCAAAGGTAGAAAATTTTGAAGACATTTCCTGTCAATCATCCTCCATGTGTGTGTCCAGCCCCTGTAGCTCCATCCCGTTCACGCCCCCGCATGGCCGACATAAGGAGATACATGACCACGACTAATCCATCTGGTGAGAGGCCCAGAACTCAACATGGTAACAACAGACAAACAGTTACTGAAAAGGAGGTTTTTATTAAACAGATGTTGATGTGGTGGTTGGATAATTGGGAATTATGATGTATGTGCACTTGTGAGTGTGTGCTCTAAAATTGTACAGACAGGAGGAAGAAAACGCACTATTAACAGTGTAGTGTCTTTCCAATAAAAACTTGCCAATGAAGTCTTGTTCAACTTTGATTCATGTCACTGTAGATCAGTGGATTGTCATTCAGGATTGGGAGACTGTAACAGTAACACTGTATAACATTTCTATCATCCTAATCACAATCTTTTTCGACTTTGATCAGGATCTCTACCATCAGAATCAGCAATTCTGCCAGATGGCACGTACATGTAATGTTGGTAAATCAACTTCCTTCTCCCCTGCAGTGTTCCTGGGTAGGACCGAGGGCCGTGAGGCGGATGAGCAGGAGCCGGGGCGGGAGCGGGAGGGAATTTACGACCGGTTGAACCTGGACGAGGACATGGACATCGACGAGGAGGTGATGGAGGACATGTTTGGCCGGGAGATCACGTCCGAGAGGGAGATGCTGGGGCTCTGGTTCCCTGAGGTCAGTCAGGGGGTAATATTTCATGTCTTCACTTCATGTACATATCAATTTATTTTGGATAAATACCGTACCTGTTGACTGCAGATCTCTTTTAGTTACTAACGAAACATAGTCAATGCTACCTGAAACGTCTGATGGTTTTCAAAATGTATCCAGTTGCTTGAGTAACTGTCACTTTGGAATGTCTTCATACATATCATTAGTCTCAGTTTTATGTTTTATGCATAAAAACAAAGTTGTGCTGGAGGAGAGCAAAAGCCCCCTTTAAATGTCACCAAGCCTGTTGTGTTAAGTAGATTCAAAACTGCCCAAGAAGACCACTCAAGGGAATGAGAAAATCTGGTCTATGTGGACAGGTGGTCAATAATGCATGACATTCTGACAATAGTCAGTCTAATAGCACGTGTTGAAAACTTCAAAACTGTTGAAAGCTTGAAGTTCAACCTAGTCTTAACCTTTTGCCCAGTATGCCCGGGAGGCTGAGCAGGGTGATGAGACTGTTCTGTGTGAGCTGTGTGGCACTACCACCTCACAGTTTAACCGGCACATGCGCACACACCACCGGGGCTGTGGGGGCAGCTGCGGTCGGCAGGGGTACAGGAGTAACGGCTCGTACGTCGACGGCTGGTTCGGGGGAACCTGCGGCACGGGAAGCCCGTACTACCTGCTCTGTGGGGAATGCAGAGAAAGGTAAACTTTGGATTTTCCCAATACTGATATGTACCTTTCATTCCCATGAGAATAGTATAGGATTTAGAGTGGATATATATCAAAGATTATTGTCATTACAATATACATGTATGCATGGGAGTTTAGTTTGTAATTTATATAAGCCCTGCTTTGCAGGTACCTTGCTGAAGGGGCACAGAGGGATATTGTGTATGCCGATGCCACCAGTCCTGACAGGTGGGTATACTGTAGATTTTATTGTAGTTACTGTAGTTATTTTTGCTGGGAACTTTATTTCAGGGAAGTGACTTTTTGATGCTGTTTAAGGTTACAGTTGAAGATAAAGACTGGTGTGGAACACCAGTATCAAAATATCATAATGGCCCAGATACAAATGTGTGACATGATTATATATCATACCAAATCAATACTATCATTCATGTATGCATAGAGCCATAATGCCCAGGTATTACATAAATACACTGTTATGTTTCAGGTCCACGTCCAGTGTGAAACTTTCCCCAGACCTTGTTGGAAGAGTGGATGGAAGCTATGAAGGTAAAAGTTTAGGGCAAGTTTATATATTCAGTTGTTGCTCATTCTTAATTCTTACAACATTGACAGCAACAAATGTGTCTAAATACCTGTTGATGGATTTTTAATAATATAATTATTTCCTTGTCAGATGAGATGGATTTTGGAGATCTGGAAGGGAACAGGTTTGCAGCCATCGAGAGTTTTGAGGCCATCATGGGTTCCCTGGGTCTGAACGACCGGCGAGTAGTCCCTGACCCAGTTCAGTTTACAGACAGTGATCCTCTGGGAGCCAAGTCCACTGTGGCATCCATGGCAGAGGAGTCCAATCTCTCTCCAGGTATTGAGTGCTGCTGTTTTCTGTTTTTTTAACTATGTATGTGTAAGGATATTATAAAAATTATTATTTCTTATGTCTCTTACTTTCTAAAACTGGAATGGATATTGGCCATTTGCATGGTAAAATCCTAATTGTTATATATAATTAATAGCCCTACAGCTTTGGCTATGGCTGAACAGCCCCATATGAGACTAGAATATGTTGCAAAAAGGCAAGAAAAGATCCAGAAAATAAAAAGTTTGGTAAATATGGTAAATTACATGTGTCTTTATGTTGTTTTGTGATCATAGATCATGTTGTTTCCTGATTTTATGTTGCTATTGCACATGTGTGCTTCATATTTTTGTATGTGTGTCATGATTTTCTTTTTAGTTGTAGAATGTATTTTGAAAACTAAGTCAAAAGTTTAACAAATTTCACAGACCTCCCCAGGTCCAGCCAGAGCCTGGGACTGCCTGGGCCTCGCCGTTTGACCTTGGGAGAGCAGGCGGCAATGTTGCTTGACCCCCATGACCGAGCGGTTGCCCTGCGGAGGACCACCAGTGCAGCCCAGATCCTGCTGGCTCGCTCCATGGTCATGAAGGCCCTTTCACTGCTGTCTGTCAGGTGAGGGAAAATCACTCGGGCAATGATAGCAGTGAGGCTTGTTTGCGTTGGTAAACAAGGACTAACACTTAGTCTAGCATGAACTGGGACTTACTCCAAAATTTTCAGCAGAACTCATCAACCTTGTTCACTGCTACTTGACTGATGACCCTCTGCTGCAGTCGCATGTCTCTGACAGGTCCATTCACTGAACAACATTGATGGAGTTCAGCTGAAAGTTTGAGGGCAAGTCTTAACTCATTCCAGTGTTGTCCTTGTCATAAATCATTTTAGTTGTTTTACTGATCTAGAGTATTCTTACAGAATATGAAATACAACCCTTAGAAGTATTACAGTCTCAGAATGGGGATAAGGTCTGGCAAAATCCTGGATTGTGGATTAACAAAATCAAAATCATTTTTCTAAATTATCATTCATGACTGTCACATAAGTCACATACCTGACTTGTGAATGATATCTGACGGTGTACAATATTGGAAATAACACCTGTTCTGCTGAATGTCCCAGTGGTTCGGCCTGTAGCCTGGCAGCAGGACTTGAGGCTCTGGGCCTGGCCGACATCCGCCTGCTGGTCCGTCTGATGTGCCTGACTGCCGCCGGGAGGGCGGAGTTCGTCATGGGAACAGATGACACTGGTCACCATGGCAACGGGACGGGCACGCCCAACGGGATGGCGACCAGCCTGACGTACCTGAGCGCTGCTATAGGATCTCTGGCTGCCAACAGTGCCAGCGCTTCCAGGATGTTGGTACAACTCTGCACACAAGTAAGCAGCTACATAATAGTTTGTTTAAACTATAATTTCCAACACAAGAAATGGATATACCCAAATTTTTGTACAACTCCCGTCTGTCAAAGAATGAGAGGTGCACGACTTCTGTGATGTCATGTTATGCACATCGTGACTCGTGACTCAATGAGCAGTGGATTGTAGAAAATCTGTGGCACCCGTCTTTTTTGTGTTGGAGTTTAAACTTGCTTCATAATGACTTACTTCTACCAACACAGATGGACTCTTGTATTTGTCATTGAAATGCATTCTGATATACATTGTATAGCTGGTATAACTGATTACTTGTTGCCATTGAAATGCGTATTACAAACCAAGTTGCAGGGAAGATGTGAGGTTTGACCAGTCCTTGTATGATCCCATGTTAGGAACTGATGTCAGCAGCCACCGGTGTGAACCTCTCCACCATCGAGGACCCCAGGAAGAGGACCTGCCGGCGAGACCAGGACCCCTCCAGCTCCGACCACAAGGCCCTGTCCTCCCCCAGCTTCTCTGTGACCCAGTCTCTCGTGTCGCTGCTCGCAGGCACCAGACAAGGTTCCTCTGGACAGCTCTTCTCCCCCTCTGACTCCTATGATGAAATGAATGACTTGATGAAAGATCTCAAACTAGGTAAGCGAAGATTGGTATGACCTTAGTTGGTTGATGTATTGACCATATCCAGCGCTATAGCATTGGCTACATGTATGGCCAAACAGTCCTATATCAGAAAGACATGTTCTGCCACTTAATGCACGGGTAACATGTGCATCTGAATTTTTGTGTTATTTTCCTCTTCCTTCCTGATGTCAATAAGAAGAAGCTCACAGGCCAATTTGGTTTTTCTTGAATAAATAAGGGTCAAACATTAAACAAATAGTATGATGTTCTGCTGCAGAGCAAGATTCCAGCAAAGTGCAGGACACAGCCTCGACATCTGGACCTACCAGCCCGCTGCACCCACCGAGACTAGGCCCCCTGCATCTGGCCAATGCACTGGCAGCCTGCTGCCTGTCCACACGGCTGTCCTCCCAGCACCGGCAGTGGGCGGCCCAGCAGCTGCTGAGGAGCCTGGCGGCACAGAGCCAGGAGGGGCGGTGTGTGCCGGAGACGGCGGCAGACCTGGCGGGCGACCTGCCAAAGTGTGCCGCCAGCAAGCTGGAGGCTCACCAGAACCGCGTCGTTTCGTGCGTATGGAACGGGAGGAAGAGCCTTCTGGCGACCAGCGGTTGCGACGGGACAGTGCGCGTCTGGAACGTGTCATCACGCTCGCAGCACATCCTGCAGCAGACCTGTGTCTTCAACAAGTCAGAGGAGGACCCGACGTCGGCGGACGACCTGATGGGCAGCCAGCTGTCCCACGTGTGCTGGAATGCCAACGGCAGGCTGCTGGCAGCCTCTATGGAGAACATGGTCAACATATGGTCGGTGGCAGGTCAGTCAGGCGGTTGTTGTTTGTACATGTAGGTAGTAGGTTTTTAGCTGTGTTTGATATTCAGGTATAGGCTAGAATTACAGAACACATGTTTGCCTTGTTATGATTTTGTAGTAACAGGTCACCACAAAAACTGCAAAAATAAAACCACTGTGAACATTTTGATATTTACTGTAACAAAACCTTTCTTACCTTTCTTCCGATTGGTCAGGAGGCCGTGGACACCTTGACCTCCAGCCCTGCTGGGTGACGGCCATCACCTGGCCACAGAACAAGGGCTTACTGGACGGGCGGGGCCTGTCAGGAACAGACATGCTGCTGATTGGTCGGCTGGACGGCTCGCTGGCTCTGGTGGAAGTGCTGGACAGCTCGACCTTCAACAGGGTCGAACTGGAACACTGCTACAGGAAGGAAGGTAAATTGAATTGAATTGAATTCCAGACATACATTTTGTACAAATATAGAAGATACAAATAAACTATACAAATGCCACGCAACAATTAATACATATAAAGATGTGTTTTTCTATCTATCAATCGTGGATACATTCATGTACATGTATGGGTACATGTAGTCCCTTCAACCAGATAGGGCTGCTTTCCATGGGAGCGCATTACAGGTAAACAGAACACAAACAGGCTTTGATGATCATTTTTGCCTTGAATTACTAGTATGGCCCCTCCCATGTACATGTATTTCAGTCGCTATATGTTGCTTTATTTTATTTTCCTGGACTCCATGAAGAATAGTGAATATTGTCTGACCTCCCTATCTATGCCTCAAACCTATCTTTAATTGTGCATTTGACCTGTTGTGTTCCAGTGCCTGTGTGTGCCATTGCCTGGTATGATGAGCACGGAAAGTTTGCTATTGGTTACTCGGACGGCAAGGTGCGGATGTGTGTGAAGGATCCGTATGATCAGGATGCGATTAAGACTATTGAGGCACATGAGGTGAGCATTGATATGCTTTCTCCTTAATGTTGAGTATTTCATAGAGTATGCGTTAAGACAGCACATACAGACACCCTCAAATTTTGTGTCTTTGAAGAACAATTAAGGACTGGAACATCCTCAGTAGTGGAAGCTCTCATAGCTGAGCTAGTAGTTCCATGGCCTTTTTCAGGCCCTGTGGGTAGTGGGTTGTCAATCCACTGTGTCCAGGGCACGATGTTCAAAGGCGTAGACCATCACTCCTTCCACTGCCTTTTGTCTCCCTAACCAAAATCAGGCACCCATTTTACACCTGGGTGGAGTGAGAAAAGCTGTGTGAAGTGCCTTTCCCAAGGACACAACATCAGGAATGCCAGGAATCGAACCTGCAACCTCTTGGTCTCGTGTCTGCTACTCAATTGTATACCACCACTATTTTGGTGTGCTAAAGGTTAAAACAAACCTATTGTCCCTGCAGACATCCATCTCTGGGCTGACCTGGGACCCTACAGGCCACCTGCTGGCGACGCTGGCTGAGGATGTGTGCCTGAAGCTGTGGGGCTGTAACTGTGACACCTGGACCATGGTCTACATTATCCCACATGCTTCCCCGGTCACTGCCATGGACTGGTGCCCCCTGCTGGGGAAAGGGGACGAACCTCAACTCATGCTGGCCACGTAAGTCTCAAAGCCATGAAAGCCATCTGTGTTTGTAGTTAAAGTAACAAACTCCATCTCTCGCCATCTCTGTTGAGTGATGGTTGGTGTTCCCTGATGCAGATGATTCCTCTTCAATGTTGTCCAAAGAAACAGTATGGCCTGGTGATTCTAAGGCACATTTGTTATCAACAAAAGAAATACAAGGGTCCTCTTGCTTTTTGTTGCTCAATTGTGCTCAAAGGAATGATGGAAATGTCCTGTTTGATAGCTCTTTTATAATATGATTTGGATCAAAAGACAGTGACATAAAAATATCTTCCCCCCTCCGTCTGTAGTGGTTGCAGTGATGGTAGTGTCCATGTGTGGACTCTCCCCCAGCCAGGCTCAACTGTCTCCATCCCGTTCACATCACCAAGGAGGACAGACCAGCAGGCAGAGACCAGGGACAGGGCCGACACACCTCCCACATCTCATCAGGTTTGTTGTGATGCACATACAGAAGGTTAAGTTCATTGATTAGAGGTGATAGTCCTCAGAAAGTCCTATGACAGTGGGTTGCCAGGAAGCATTCAATTTCAACTAACTGTATGCAACCAAAACTGATAGACATCATAATAATATAAATGATATTTGAACTGAAATGTTGGCTTTCATTTGTGTGTAGTTGCTGTACTACAGTAAACCTTAAAAAGTTTGTGGTGGTTTTATTTCTGCAGTATTTTTTTTTATTTTATTCACATGGATTTTTGAGCATTAGATAGGAAACACTTGTTGTGCTTGTTGTGTGGATCCGCAGCTCATATGCATATATATATATTTCTGCAGTTTTTTACTGACCTCTCCATTTATGATACATTGTAATGATTGTAATACAAATGTCTTGTTATTGTACTACAGAATTGTTTCAACAATACAAATGCCCTTTCCCCTTCTGCCACCATAAAGAATGAATTTACAGCATTTTGTACTCTCAGTTGACATAATATCTGCCCCATGATTGTATCTGCAGGAGACCATAGCAGACGAGTCCAGACAAGGACCAGTGGAGGAGGTTCTGGTGCTGAAGGGTCACCAGACGTCCATCCAGCACCTGGCCTTCCACCCACATGGTATGGGGCTGGCCTCAGGCTGCTCCAGGGGCGTCGTCAACCTCTGGTCTCTCCAGGTGGGAATGTTTGATTGTTTGTTTGTTTGTTTCGCGCAAATGGGAAGCCACGTTTAAGCCTACTATACCAGTTTTGTACAGTAGGTACAAGCTACATAAGACCAGCTCCACTCGCTTCATTACCCCTACTCTTTTAGATAAGTAGGATCTTAAAAGTGCTTGAGATGTAGCCTTCCCCAAACATGGGGCCTCCAGCTTTACAGCCTGTCTAAGGGAATGTCCCTAACCAAAGCTTGGTACTCGATTTCAGAGTCGAGTGAGGAAATAGGTGTTAAGGGTGTTCTTAATGTTGTGTATTGTTGATTTATTACCTGTAGGATGGGGCAGTCACTCAAACCCTGATGGGCCAAGGTACCACACAGGGCCTGGTGTGGGCAGGGGAACAAGCTCTCGCAGCAGCCTTCAACAAGTCTAAGGTAGGTGAATACAGTGATGCTTCAGCATCAAGAACAGGGATGGTAATGTTACTGTAAGCCTGTATTTGTGCGTGATAACTGTTCAGCACCAAGGACAGGGATAGTAATGTTACTGTAGCCCTGTATTTGGGTGTAATTACTGTTCAGCACCAAGGACAGGGATTGTAATGTTACTGTAGGCCTGTGTTTGTGTGTGATGACTGTCCAGAACCAAGGACAGGGATGGTAATGTTACTTTGGCCCTGTATCTGTGTATGATGACTGTTCAGAACCAAGGACAGGGATGGTAATGTTACTGTAGGCCTGTGTTTGTGTATGATGACTGTTCAGCACCAAGGACAGGGATGGTAATGTTACTTTAGGCCTGTGTTTGTGTATGATAACTGTTCAGCACCAAGGACAGGGATGGTAATGTTACTTTGGCCCTGTATCTGTGTATGATGACTGTTCAGAACCAAGGACAGGGATGGTAATGTTACTTTAGGCCTGTGTTTGTGTATGATGACTGTTCAGCACCAAGGACAGGGATGGTAATGTTACTTTAGGCCTGTGTTTGTGTATGATAACTGTTCAGCACCAAGGACAGGGATGGTAATGTTACTTTGGCCCTGTATCTGTGTATGATGACTGTTCAGAACCAAGGACAGGGATGGTAATGTTACTTTAGGCCTGTATTTGTGTATGATGACTGTTCAGCACCAAGGACAGGGATGGTAATGTTACTTAAGGCCTGTATTTGTATATGATGACTGTTTAGCACCAAGGACAGGCATGATAATGTTACAGTAGGCCTGTTTGTTGAGAATGATGACTGTTTAGCACCAGGGACAGGGATGGTAATGTTAATGTATACCTTTATTTGTGAGTGATGCTCATCAGCACCAAGGACGGTGATGGTAGTGTTGCTATAAGCCCTGTATTTGTGAGTAACGACCAGTAAGCATCAGGGACAGGGATGTTAGTGTTACTATAGGATTGTATTTGTGAGTAATGAGACTTTATGTTGATGAACCTTCAAGTGAGCACAATATGGATGTCTGACACTGACAACCTCCTACGTAAAAATCTGCTTGTTGGATTTGTATAATCCATGTGAAGTAAGTTTATTAGGATAGCCTTTTAGCTCCTTTATGGGGCTTGTCTTCCTATGCTTGATAAACAATACAAATACATAAAACAGATTTACATACAAGTACAGACTTTAAGGATTAAGAATTGAGAATTAAGGTCAGATCAGAGAACTAATTATGACGAAGATAGTTAGATCAAGGACATTATATACTGTATAATGTCCTTGGTTAGATCTACAAATTAAGAGTTTGTGAAGGCATAAACTTACGAGTTACTAAAATTGCTAAACACTTACATATGTGTTCACGTACCCCCTTCCCATCTGCCCAGGATGTCTCCCTGATGTACCACAGTCAGGACTGGTTCAGTCAGCACACCTCACTGGCTGCTGCACGCATGGCGCTCCGGGCACAAGGCATTGTGGGACTGCACCAAGCACCATGCATGAAGGCACTGCTGGGAAGGTTACCCAGAATCCTTCAGGAACAGTACTCATATGAAAAGGTGACGCTTGTTTTTGTTTGTTTTTTTATCAATCTTGAAAACAAATTGGTAGTCCCTTTAGCCAAATAGACAAGTAGGAGGTCATAGATAATACGAGTGAAATAAAATTCAATTACCGGTATGCAGACAAATTAGGCCACACCGACTTAATTTTATGGATGACATCCTCCCGCGCATTGATTTTCGCCTGTTCTCAAAAAAAAAAGTCCTCCGAGCTAGGCTCTCGCCTGGCTCTATGCCTGGGTAGTCCATGGTAGTTAGCGACAATATGGAGCCGGTGGTAACTCTGGAGGACGGCACCCAGGCAACCGAAGCTCCACGACTCAAGAATATGCGTGCATACGTAGTGCCGATTCATAAATTCTGCAAAAAGCCAGCATGTGCCTGCCTGTCATATACGTTGCTATGTACTGCCGCTAATTCACAATACCAGCTTTGTATTCCTATAGTCTAGTAGCATATTTATTTTTGGCTGGAATTTTTTTTATTCGCCCGCGCGCACTAATTTGGGGGTCTTTAGAGGATGTCACCCATAAAATTAAGTCGGTGTGGCCTTATACAGAGTAAAGTAAATTAAGGAATTGCTTGTCAATATTTTTGCAGATAGTCCTTATCTAGAGGTGATCAAGTTTAACTGGTACTGTACAAAAACTGTAACATAACTGTAACTGTGAAATGAACATAATTTTAGATTGGATTGAGGTTGTTAAAGGAATCTGCAGGTTTGACAGGAGTCCATGTTGTGTTTGCAGGCCCATGTAGTGTGTGGGGACCAGCTGGTTCACAGCACCTTCCTACAGAACTTTGCTGCCATGGCGATAGGACTGCAGCTGGAGAAGGTCCTCTGTACCGTCCCATGTCCCCCCCACCTCAGGAACAGTGTGGAGGAAGGATGCAGGTATGCTGTCATGTCACAAACACATCCACATTACAAATACATGTGTATGCCATTATGTAAGAAAAACTATCACATTCTGTGTCCCTTGATAACAAAGTTCTTTACTCAAGAACACCTGCCAATGTTTTAGTCTTTCACCTTCCTTAGGGCAATACTGACAGGTTATACTTTTAACAGCAGCTTAGTGTCCAAATGTGACCGATCGCATTCTTTACACTTTAGTAGCAATACCCAGGTACAGTGCAAAGCACATGTAGATTTGTAGAACCAGTTAGTTATCCATTGGAGTCAAGACACTTTAACATGTACTTTGATATTTAAATGAAGGTGTGTGTGTGTGTGATGTTGTAGGAATGTCCCAGAGTGGACGTGGCTGGCATCGTTTTCCGCAGCACTGAAGTCAGCAGAAACACTCAGCAAAAGATGTGCATTCCCAGTATCCTTTGTGGTTCCTGACATTGAAACCATCAGTAAGGATGAACCCATGCAGCCGACGGTAAGTTTTCCATGAGCACTCGTAGAACCAGTTGAAATATTTATTTTATTAATTTAAAGTTATTGCACAATAACATGCTGGATCACCTGACAAGTATTCTTGTTTCTGTCATGCAGGATAACGTAGCGTGGAAACTGAACATGGATGAAGAAATCATGGCCTGGGCAACACAGAAACCTGAGGTAAGTTGTACAGTCCTGTTATAGTATTTGTCCTTATGTGATACCTTCTGCTTTCTCACTTTTATGGACTGCAAAGACCACATCAATCTGTTTTTTTTGCTCTTGGAGTTTCACTCCCTAAAACTTTCATGTATGGAATAGATTGAAATCTCTCTATGTCATACGTTGTACATCCAAGTGAATAAATCATGAAATCTGCCCACTAGATAACTGATTGTTCCTTTGCTTTCTGCCTGTTCCGTAGGATTGGATGCTGGGTGGACGTTGTGAAGCCTACATGTGGGGAGGGGGGCGCCATGGGCAGCTGGCAGAGACTGGGAGGAGTTTACTCACTCCAACCATTACCCCTTCCTTCTCACAGGCTCAACAGGTATGCAGAAGTACAGTAGAAGGTGGCAAGGTGGTTTGTAGACTTAGGATCTGATTTGTGGGGTTCAAATCCCTGGCAGCCCTAGTGCTTGAACCTTAGAAAGACACTTTACATGTATGCATGTACATTGTATTTCCTCACTTGACTCAGGACCAAGCCTTTATTTAATTGCAAGAATTCTCTCAGATGGGATGTAAAATTGTTGTTTCCTCCGGAACCACCTTGTCTTTGACAACCCTAATAGTGACTGTGATACAATATTATGACAATCAGGAAATTTTCTCTTTTCAATTACAGCAATGTATAGATAGATAGATAGATACATACATGCCTTAACTTTGTCCCTACTAAATACTAAATACTGCCTAACACTGTAACCAGACAGCTACAATGTATTTCAGTGTGCTTCAGGGCAAATTTTGCCATGTTATACTTTCTGTAAACCCAACTTGAAAGGATAGAGATGCCATAAATTTACAGGAATGCCTTGATAGCCACTCTGTTAAAATTTGTGTAACCACAAGCTGTTCATTCTCCTGTTGTTTAGATCATCTGTGGGCAGAACTGCACGTTTGTGATCCAGGCTAATGGGACGGTGCAGGCCTGTGGGGAGGGCAGCTACGGCCGGCTGGGACAGGGCAACTCAGACGACCTCCACCAGCTAACCATCATATCAGCACTACAAGGTAGATACGTAGTCTCCTTAGCAAGCTCTGTGGGTCAGGCTTTTTTGAGGCTTATAATGTGCTTTTTGTCTGATGGCATATCAGTTCAGGGCACTCTTGTTTTTTGTGGGCCGTCTAGATAGATAAATTAGACTATGAAATCTACCCATATGGCTGATTTGTGTAAGCTATGTTGTCCAATGCATAAGTTAGACTAATGTTGTCTGCCTGTAGGTTTTTTGGCACCTGGTGACATTGTGTGGTTGTGATCAGTGCTTCTAATTTTTGGGAACATTGTGTCAAATGCAGGAGACCGTCCATATGGTTTGTTGTGGCCCAGCTGGTAATGTTGTGTGGTTCTTACAGATACTTCATGGCCCTAACCTTAACGTAGACACTACAGAATGTACACTTAGTAGGGGTGTCAGTAAATTAGGCTTTCCCAGACTGATGCTCTTGGTTTGGTTGTGATGCAACTGGTCATGTCATGTAGTTCACGGGCACTCCATGACCCTAACCTTGACACAAACCCTATAGAATGTATGAGTATTGAAACATAGGGCATCTTCCCAGACTGACACTGTTATCTGTCCATAGGTTTTGTTGTGAACCAGCTGATGACGTCATGTAGTTTTGATGGGCACTGCATAGCTCAAACCCTAATGATAACTTAAACCCTACAGGATGTATGGATGTTGATTTTACCTATTGACACTGTTATCTGTCGGTAGGTTTTGTTGTGACCCAGCTGGTAACATCTTGTGGCTCCGACGGGCACTCCATGGCGCTGACAGAGAGTGGGGAGGTGTTCAGCTGGGGGGACGGTGACTACGGGAAGCTGGGCCACGGGAACAGCGACAGACAGCGCCGACCCAGGCAGATCGAGGCTCTTCAGGGAGAGGAAATCATACAGGTCTGCTCAACAGATTGCCATGCAACACTTTCTGTGCTGTATCAAGTATTAATTACCCTGGTACCCGAAGCTATTTGCAATGAGTTTGTAGTGATAAGAAAATACAAATTTGTTTGATAGCTTTGGTACCTGAAGACATGATTATTTCTGTTCTTTTCCAAGTTGGTATTAGGTACATAGTAGTTGTTACATCCATCCAACTCACTGATTTTATAGGCTCTGATTTGAAGTTGTCAGAGAATGTAGATTAAAGAGAAGGCAACTGAATTCAAGTCACTGTGTTCTCTGTCCTCCAGATGGCTTGTGGGTTCAAACATTCTGCTGTTGTGTCAGCTGATGGCAAACTTTTCACATTTGGTAACGGTGACTATGGGAGACTGGGGCTGGGGAACACATCCAACAAGAAGATTCCAGAGAGAGTCACTGCACTGGAGGGCCAGATGGTTGGACAGGTAAACAGTTGTCTGTTTACATTTCACATGTTGTTATGCTGTTTTCACTCTGTCAAGTGACCTAATGGTTTGGAAATGGAAAAGTACAGATAAGCATAATTGGCATTGAATCAGATGCAGAATTTTTTAGGTCCACACCTGTCCCAGATATTCTCTTGTATTCCATTTTTTAGACAGAATTCTTGCACAATTTATTATTATTATTATAGATTATCTTTTCATTGCTCTTCTTTTGGAATTATCTAAAGCATTGTCACACCATTTTGCATTTTCCATTCCTTATACATCCCTACATGATTTTGATGTAAGTTGTTGATGTTGTTGTTACTGTAGGTTGGCTGTGGGTTGAACCACACCCTGGCAGTGTCAGCAGACGGCAACACTGTGTGGTCCTTCGGAGATGGAGACTACGGCAAGCTGGGACTCGGGAACTCCACAGCCAAGTCAACACCACAGGTCTGTTGGGAAAGTATATTCAGTTGTTCAGGCAACTATATTAACTTATATCAATCATTCCTCACACCTTTCTTATACTACATGGCTTAAGTATGATGTAGCCCAAGATTATCAACCTTTGCACACTGAAGTAACCATTTTGGCTACTGATTCCCTATTGGTAATTAGGGAGAATTAGAGTTAGGCATTAGGGAGAAGGTTGTGTTATGCAAGACTTACACAGCAATGGGAAACTGATTAGTTGATGCCTGTTGTTTTTCTGCAGAGAGTAGATGCCTTGTGTGGAATAGGAGTGAAGAAAGTCTGCTGTGGGACTCAGTTCTCTGTTGCTCTCACCAAGGATGGCAGAGTCTTTACATTTGGACAAGGTGAGATGTGTAGATGTGATGTTTTCCTGCTCATGTCATCATGCTTCCACAGTCTGTAGCACTGTGTACAATACAATTTACATGTAGATGCATCAAAGTCCCCCCAAAATAAGTAAGCTGGCCAATAGTCGAGTAAAGTAGGGTTTTGGTTTCTGTGAAAAGGTACAGAATAGTTGTTGTCACGAACTTTCAAATTTCTGCAGAAATCTGTATGCGGTCTCACATGTATCTCACATGATTATACATGTATACATCTCCCCTCATCACAGTTCATGACTGGAGTAGATTATCTGGTCCTTACAGCCTCCTTAATTCAACAATGTGTGCATGTTGTCCTCTTTATTGTCTGTCCCTGATATTTACTGAATATCATATATTAGATGTGAACTTACAAGTACAGTAACTGGTAATTCTATGACTGCAGAGCGGCTGATTGGCCAGCCGGAGAGCCGAAGCCGGAACCACAACCGTCCGCAGCAGGTTCCCGCACTGGAGGCGTTCTTCGTGGAGGACGTCGTGGTTGGGGCGGAACACTCGCTGGCCTTGACCTCCACGGGAGAGGTGTGGGCGTGGGGCAGTAACGGGGATGGACAGCTGGGGATAGGGGACACCAACGCCAGGAGGGAGCCTTGTCTGGTCACAACTCTACAGGGCAAGAGTGTCAGACAGGTCAAGATAACTCCAAGTTCTAACTTTTTGCACATCTTTTAGGGAAAAAATTGTCTACGGTGGAAGAACGGGGGTTTTATATTTTATATGGGGAATATGAAATTTTTGAAAGTTTTTGTGATGTCACCTGTTCAAGACAAAAGATGTTTTAACTTACTGCTGTTTTCAGCACACTCAACAATAAAATGTAACAAAATATGGAAGGTTTGAGGATGTGATCTAGCTTTGCAATGAAATAATTAATCATTAAAAGATGTGCATGGAAAGAAGTTTAGAAAAGGATAGCAAACTTTAAGTTAATGTTATCATCATTCAATAACATAGTCAAGGCATGTCCTGGTTGTTAAGGCATATTGCCTGATACTGATAAAGATTTTCACAGTTCTGCAGACGTACAGTATAACATTGTTGTCACCGTACCACCACAGATTCCTGTGGGCAGTAATCAAGCATTTCTAATCCTCACTATCATTTCAATATTGTCATTTTTAACTTTAATTTAGGATGCTACACATATGTTACACAGTACAAAAATCCAAAACTTTGAATTAAAACACTCTGCATAATAACAGAATAACATTGTTGTTTTTGCTGTCCACCACAGATTTCTGCAGGCAGGAATCACAGTGGAGGCTGGACGGCCCCTCCCCCACCCAAGCGTGCCCCCGGTGTACCGGCCCCCCTGCAGCTGGGGCAGCCCTCCTCCATCCCTCCACAGTTCACCTCGCTGAAGGAGTGCAGCATCGACGCCATCAAGGCCAGGCTCAGGCTGCTGCACCACTTCTCGGACCTCATCTACTCCTCCTGGAGACTGCTCAACCTCAGCCCCAACCAGGTAAGGACAGGTGTTTGTTTGTTTGTTTGTTTGTTTGTTTGTTTGTTTGTTTGTTTTGAATTGGCCTGTACTGGACTTAATAAGAACAGATACCTTCACATGTGGGGAACTGAGGATGCCAGACTGTTTCGAGGGTGGACATTTTTGTACTTCAGGCATGGATGCCAGACTGTTTAGAGGGTGAACAGGTGTACTAAAGCTTCAGGTGTGCAGGAAACACCCTGTGAAGCAGCCTACACAGGCCCCCTCTGTGGCTCTAGTGCCAGCATGCCCCTAAGGAAATGGTTGGGTTTCATTATGTAGCAATTGACATGGAGAGGCTGATCACCATATAGTATAGCAATGTTTTTGAGTAAGAAATAGTAGAAGGGTACAAATGTGTTTTGTTAGGCTATATCATGTGAAGGTAAAGTTTTGGACTTTTGTTTAAAAGTTGTTCAACTTATTGATGGATCCTCTTTTCCTCCCCCTCTCTGATTTGTTCTTAGACGATGCAAGTAATTCCCTCAAGAAGACAGGTTTGCAATCATACAATTCTTGATAAGTAGGCAGGAATTTACAGTATAACACCTTCCATAAAAAATCTGTTGCCCTGTAAATTATGTATTTGACTTTTGTGGTGATGATGTAGTCGAAATACCAAATTTCCAGTAAATTTTCTTAAAAGTGATATGATCATTTTGCAACCACAGTCAAACCTGTACAAGTGACCACCTCCATATACATGTATAGAGACTACCTGGCCAATGTGACCACTTTCTATTGGTAACTTGGATTATTTTTCCCATTGACACAAGCATTAAGAATACCATCCACAGTGACCACCTGTCCACATGAAACAGGTTTTTTTTGTACAGAGTGGTCTTCTTGGTCAGTTTTGACTGTATCTTGATTGATACATTCGGTATGTTGTCAGCTGTGAGGCTTGTAACCTGTGTTGTTCCTCTGCAGGCCAACCTTGGTGTGTACAGTATTGGTGTGGAGGGACTGGTGCAGGGTGACCTACGACCCCTGCTGGCCCCCAGGGTGTACACCCTCCCCATGGTCAGGGCCATCGGCAGGACAATGGTGCAGGGGAAGAACTACGGACCTCAGATCACAGTCAGGAGACTTGCCACAAGGTACAGGGAACTTCAAGTACAAAATGTATTAGGCCTGACAACACTTTTGGGGATGTTCTTAGAAAAAACTTCCAAGGGCAACACACCCATGTACATGTACCTGTACCTGTACCTAAAATCTGATACATGTACATCATGTACAACATGTATAAGTACACAGGTCTAATTCTGGCTCCCAAGGGCATAACAAAGGGCATAACACTGGGGCCTGCTAGGGATTTTAACCCATCACCTTTAGATTCCATCTTTCACCCGATAGCCTGCCAGAACCCTAACCTGGAATTTTTAGATTCTAAGACATTCTTGCCTTGTTTTATCCCCAGGGGCAGGAAGTGTAAGCCCATCTTCCACCAGATAGCCCGTCAGGTGGTGAAGTTGAAGCCGGATGAGCTGCGGCTGCCGTCGCGTGCCTGGAAGGTCAAGCTGGTGGGGGAGGGGGCTGATGACGCCGGGGGGGTGTTCGACGACACCATCACGGAAATGTGCCAGGTACAGCAGGAATCAAGATGCTTGTTATTGTTATCACTTCATGTATCATAGCTTAGCTTGAAAGTACATCTGTGTTCAACTTGGTGGAAATCACTTGAAGCAAAATCCTGTCATTCATTCATTATGTAAAAAGACTAACTCACTTGTGCCACCCTACACAGGAGCTAGAGACTGGGGTCATCGACCTCCTGCTGCCCACACCCAACTCCTCCGCCGAAGTCGGCTGCAACCGGGACCGCTTCATCCTGAACCCGTCGGCTACCACCCAGGACCACCTGCACCAGTTCAAGTTCCTTGGCGTCCTGTTTGGGGTGGCCATCCGCACCAAGAAGCCACTGGACCTGCACCTGGCTCCCATGGTGTGGAAACAGCTGGCAGGTATGTAACAACTCTAAAATCTTAGTCTTTATTCAACATACCATTAAGCAGACTTGTAATACAATCATGTAAGTCTGAATTTTTTACTCATGAGAAGCTCAAATCACCCTACAGGCTTCCTTTCATTGAGGTCATGAGGGAAGAGGTTATACCTAGTGTTTACAATCTCACAGTCACAAAATCAAGAAGGTTGTCGAAAGTTAAATCCAAGTGACCTACATGTATGACTGATCTGTTATTAGTGTGTTATATAATATACACGATATAGGCAGACCATATGGCAGGTGTGACTGGCATATACATGTACAGTAGAAGTAGTGACCAATGGCTGATGAGAGCAGCCATGGTCTTGTCAGATTAGCTGGGCTATGCATTGATTTTAGTCAGAGAGTTGGTGCCAAGTTGTTGCCCAGGTATGTGTAGGCATGTTAATACATGTAGGTCTCTCTAGGTTAGATTGTATGGCTTTTTAGCTGTAACACTAAGTCTTAGTTTCCCATCGTCCTTGTGTTTGTAAGTAGGCCTGATGTTTTGTAATCTGTAAGAAATACTTCAAGGCGTCTAAACCTGTTACAGACCTGTGATAGTAGTACCTTGAAGTAGACTAGCATAGGTCACACTAAACACGGCTCATATCAACCCCTAAAACCCTACAGGTATGCCGCTGACCATTGACGACATAGAAGATGTGGATGCCCTGTTTGTGCAGAGTCTACGCAGCATCCGAGACATCGACAAGAGCGGGGTCACATCCGAAACTTTCCATGAGGTATTGTATCGTGTTTTATTTATCTTACTTATGGGCCCATGACACAAATAGAAGGCAGTATCTATCCTATATCCTATCGTCTATAAACTGCAGACCTGCTGTACTTTCACATTGATGTTATGTGTTTTTAGACCTTACCAATCCTCCAAAAATGATGTTTTATTGGTTGGTAAACAATGATTTTGTCCTGCTACTTCCCTCATTGTTTGGAATCCAGTTTTTCACAAATGTTTTGCTAGAACTCAGGAGTAATATCATATGATACAACTGCAAAAGAGATTTTCGTAACCTCCATACTTACTGCTTTCTTGTAGGTGATTCCGTTGGATTGTTTTGAGGGTCAGAGTGTAGATGGGCGGTTTGTTCCTATCATTCCTGGCGGGCGCAGCATTCCTCTGACGTTCCACAACAGGAAGGAATATGTGGAGAGGGCGCTGCAGTACAGGCTTCACGAGATAGACAGACAGGTACAGAGTCAATCAATCAATCAATCAATAATCTGCAGGCAACAGATATTAATGTCCCAATTTGTGACGCTGACAAAACCTGATTGTATGCAAACTATGTACTATGCACTTAAGCGTACGAGAACTGCTTACGTTGAATTTTCCTGCATAAAAATCGGCCTGACATACATCAGCAACATACATTCAGATTGTACATTACCCGGAGGGCTGGAGTACGATCTGAACATATGTTCTTGATGCTCATCAAGGGAGGCTCATTAACATGCAGGAAAATTTTGATGTACACAGTTTTTGTACTCTTGTGTTCCAGGATGTGCTTTTTTCGGCATAGGAGATCCAATTGTCTGAGTTGACCTCTACATGTTGTATCTCTCTGAGTGTTTTGAAGACTTGGTCCAGCAGTGGAAGGGCAAGTGCATTTGTGGTAGCAAAGCTAATAAATAGTATTGCTCTCTAATAATCTGGAACAAAGCATCGACTTGAAGAGTACTTAGCTCACCCAGTGACAAATTTTTTCCAGGTGTCAGCTGTGCGAGAGGGCATGGCGTGGATCGTTCCTGTGACCCTGCTGTCCCTGCAGACTGCGCGGCACCTGGAGTCCATGGTCTGTGGCATGCCCGACATCTCAGTCGACATCCTCAAGAAAGTCGTCAGGTAAGCCCAGGACAAATAGACAACAAATTATTGACTTAGAATCTGAAGGTTCTGGATTCAAATCCCTATCAGGCCTCAATATTGTGCCCTTTTGGAAAGACCCTTTACACCTATTTCTTCACTTGACTCCAAAAATGAGTACCTGGCTATAGCTATCATAGGTTAAGTCAGGAATCATAAATCTTTGCAGTGCACAAACTGTTGTCAAAGATTGTCATCATAGATGCTATGTACAGAGACTGGCTTATCTTACTTTTCACTAAAAATCAAAGGATTTAATTCCATTGTCTGACTTGATGATAAGAGATGTCTCCAAATTTCTGCAAAGTTAGCTGAAAAAAGATTTGGATTGTAGACAATGCTTTTTGCATTCACCATACAGGTACCGAGAGATTGATGACAACCACCACCTGGTCCAGTGGTTCTGGCAGACCCTTGAGCAGTTCAGTAATGATGAGCGGATCCTCTTCATGCGATTTGTCTCTGGACGGTCCAGACTCCCGGCCAACATTGCCGACATCTCTCAGCGCTTCCAGATCATGAAAGTGGACAGGGTATGGCACTTGCCCCTCAAATCTGTGTGTCGTTTTACATAATTACCATTTTTACATAATACCAGTATATCATCATCATCATAAAATGGACTCTGTAACTGAGGAAAGTAATGACTGCTACCTGAAATGTCAGTTTGCTCATGCGTAATTCACATTTTCGTCCTGATTATTGGGATTATTCTATGGCTGAAAATTACATTTTAAAGCAATTTTATGATTATCATTACAGCAGTTCTATTAACTGATTTACCAGTCAGCCTTCAATTCCATTATATTGATTCAGCTGCAAAATGCTTTTATTTATACCTTCATTTATTAATAAATTAATTCATTCATTATTTATCTTGTGTGAGTTAAGTTTCTTCATGTGTTGTTCCTGCAGACAGGTGACGGCCTACCCACAGCCCAGACCTGCTTCTTCCAGCTGCGCCTGCCTCCCTACTCCAGCCAGGAGGTCATGGCCGAACGGCTGCGCTACGCCATCAATAACTGCCGCTCAATTGACATGGACAACTACATGCTCTCCAGGAACGCCGACGTGGGGGCAGGGTCAGATGATGAGTACTGACTGACACCTGTCCATCATGCCTGAAGACCTGTCAATCATGCCTGAAGACCTGTCCTGACTCTGTGTGTCATGCCCGACTCTCCAAGCAGACATTTAGGCTTCGGCTTGTTTCTGTGTTTTAAAGCGTTTTCATCAAGCTTTCTTTTTTTGTACTTGTATGTTTTTGGGCTGGTGTAAAGAAAAATTTCAGTACATGAAATGAAACCCAATAAAAATGTCAAAAATTATGCCAGAAATAAACCGAAGCCTTAACCTTGCTTGGAGAGTAGTGTGTTAGGTTATCAATCTGGAGTCCTTTCCAAAAGCCCTTGAGACTTGGAGCTTGAAATGGGAACATATAAACACTGTTTGAAGTCCACATCAGAAGGATATTCTAATAGAAGAAAGAACTACGGTCAAAACTGCTCAAGGCGACCTCTTAGGGGACCAGTAAAACCTGGTGTTTATGAACAGGTGCATACTATAGACAGGATTTTTTATGCTTGTGTCAATGGAAAAAATATGTAATAAACCACCAAAAAGTGTTCATATTGACCAGGTAGTCCTTATGTAGAGGTGGTCAGTTGTGGAGGGTTGACTGTATGACATTTGTGTGTGGACCTCCAAAGCCTTTCACATTGTATGTTTCAGAATTTCAGACTATGATCTCAAACAAATATATCAGCTGCTACTTTTTAAGTCCTCATGGTTTCAGAATTCTCATTCTGTTACATGTAGATGGAACAGGATATGAATCTTTTGTTGAGAAGTGTAAAAAGATTTTGTGATAATTTAAGTGTGAATTGCTTTATCATGTCAGGAGCAAAAATTGTCGGATGTTTGTGTATGTTTCTGTGTTGCATTTATTTATTCAGGGCATGGGTGTATAAGAAGTCAACTCTAGAGGAAATATTGGTGTGTAGATCATTGTAGGAACCAGAAATGTAGGTGATGCAGTAGCCATGATGAAAGTGAAATATATAATAATATTGTACTTTGCCATTGCCGACATCTATTTATCAACTGTCTCAGTTGACTTGTCTCAGTGACTTGTCACAAGTGTTGTACAGTCCTTACAATAGAAGACAAGCACAAGATAGGGCAATCTACTGATCCTATAGGTTTTTGCAGTGATGGTGCAATATGCTTTAATGTACAAGGAAGCATACATGTACATATGCTTACTTAAGAGAATAATTGATTCAATGTGGCAAACAGCTTTCAAAGCGACTCTACAACAAGGTCCTAAGTATCAATTTTGGTTATTTGCTGACTACCTCAGTGTCATTAATATGCTAGTCTCTACTAGACTAACTATGCTGGCAGGAAAATTGTAGAATTTAGAGAGAGAAATTTACCAGGGGAGTTTGGCCTAAGGCTATATCATTTACCACAGGCTCACTCTCCTGGCCTACAATTGACCATATGTTTGCAAAATTCTGATATCCTTAACCCATTAGGAAAGTCTGGTGTATATCAAAATACCCAGATGTTGAATAAGTTGAATATCCCCTCATTGATATTGACATTATTACAAATCTGCCTTTGGGTATTTTTCAGAGGTTAATGAAATGTCATGTAACAATATACATGTATATGAAGCCCCTAACTGTTGTTCTAAAAATGGGACAGCCACTACACTGACAATCAGATAAAAAAACTAATGAGATATTGTTACATAAGCTGTTATTACAACTCAACCACTGCAGTTTTTTCTTGGTTCTTACCTATCACTAAGATCATCAATAAAGCTGGTGCTATATTTGCTCAACTGTATTGGTCAGCTGCTTTCGAGTCTTTATACAGTAAAGACTGTGGAGTGACAGGTCTATAGTATACCTGATCGAAGATTTTTTTTCTTACATTAAGCCCTAAAATTTATATTTTAGACTCCTGTGCCTTCATCTTCAAACCAAATACATTGTACTATGAACATGACATTTTCCCAAACGGCTCGTACTAGCCACCATGTCTTGCCACCGCCTGTCCAGCTGTGCACTGATCATATGAAGGAATCTGTCAACACCTTTTGACGGACAAAGGACCTGACAGTAGAGCCCTCAACTGCCAAGACCCTGTTGCTCAATCATAACTTAAAAAATCAATTTTTGTTGTTGCCTTTGCATGCCAAAAGGTTTTGTTTTTGTTGGCGTTTGTGTGTCTGTGTGTCAGTACGATAACTCGACAAGCCTTTAATGGAATGTCTTCATGAGACCTTAATGGAAGGTCTTGATGAGACCTTGAAATGATTAGATTTTGGACCCCCTGGCAGCTTGTTATGGTACTGCAGCTGAAATTCCAGTTTTGATATCTCGTGATCTGGACATGCTAGGGTCACAAAATTTGGATGATAGGTAGCTCTTGTGTTCGGGAAGATGTGAGTTTATGCCCCCTAGCAGCTTGTTCTGGAACAGTAGCAGCATTTGTTGAAAATATTGGAAGGAGGATAACTCAAGAACTGGGATCATCATGATTTTGGTATATAGGTAGCTTAGGTGATGATTGACATAATAAAATTACAGTTATGCAAATCAGGATCTAATTTGCATAATTAATGACTAAATTTGCTACTGTCCATGAGAGGATTATTCAAATGTGAACAATGTGTAATTGTGAACAAAAATATATAAGGTCATATAAAGGTCAATGACCTCAACTAGACTATCTGTTACCATGGTAACCAGTGTTGGGTTACATCATGTTGCAATTCTATAGCAGGAGGGATTTACATGTAGATTCCTGTCTGACTTATATGAGTGTGTTTGAGCATGTTTTCTACCTCCATGGTTTGGGTATGAGACTACTATGAGTTACACAGAGCAGACCATATGCAAAGGTTAACATTATGGATGTGCTTTGCAAATTTTACCTTACTTTTGGATTCCCTTTAGCCATTGTTAGCATACTAGTAGAGTCAGTAGTCTCCACCAGACTCCTTTGCAGGCTGAATAAATTGTAGACATCAACCTTAAAAGGGGTTTTAATTGGTCTGAGAAGTTGGCTGGCTTTCTGGCCAATTAAAACTCATTTCTTATTATATACAGTAGGCCAGAAACAAAATGAGTACCTTTAAGTTCCTCTGATAGGACGTTAAGGCCATGTTGATTTGATTATATGGATGACATCCGCGCGCGCATGAATTTTCGGCCGTTTAAAAAAAAAAAAGTTTTCAACCATACTGTAAATCGTACAAAACAGTTGCAAAATGAGCAAAAATATACCGTAAGTTACAAAAAAACCATACCAATGTCGTAGAATGCCAAAATCAAACGAAAAAAGACGAAATTGTAAAGAAATGAACTTGAAGACTAGATTATTCACCAAACCATATTCTGTAGATTTCATAATGAAAGCAACTTTTTTTTTTTGTCAAAACTTTTTTTTTATTCGCACGCGCGCATCAATTTTGGGGTTTCCGGAGGATGTCATCCATATAATCAAATCAACATGGCCTAAATGGAGGTCCCGTGTTTGGGGAGAGCCACACCCCTAAGCGATATCAGGGTATTAACATATTTGTTGGTCACGTGATATACCCGGGCAAGTCAGGACAAATCCTCCACCAGGGCGCCATCTTTGAATTCAGAGTTGGATCGTTATTTCTGACTTTTTCTCCGTCCAGCTCTTTTGGCGTTTCTTGAGAACCTTAGACGTGTCTGAGAAGCAGAGATATGTAAATTATTCGTCACCAAGACTGTTATGAGTTTGACCGGGAGAGTCTGTACTGTAATTCACCAGGTTTGGGAGAGGAGATCAGAGATCGACCGTACGCCACCACTTCCAAAATCCAAGTAACGACGTTGTTCCTTGCCTCTGAAAAAAAAAAAACTGTCTGATGATGATATGGCTCCCAGCAGGTCATCCAATCGAAGATCTATGGCACCGGTACCTAGTGAGGTAAGTATATTCACGAAAAAGTCGCTTGAACCTCAGGTTGACCGATTTATTGCCCCCCTCCCCAGTTTAAATTATGCTGCCCATGTCTTTGTCATATTATTTTGGTGCCAACGTCATGTGACTGTCCTTGAGTCCTTGACAGTGTCTTGTTTTAGATGCACAACATTATTAAGACTGTAACTTGTGAGGACCTTTTTTTTTTTTTTTTTTGTATTTCATGATTTTCGTTTGGTCCACATTTCATTTTCAAAGGAGATATAGCCTGGGTTCCAGACCCATAGCACACTGGGCACAAAATATCTCACTGAGATATTTTGTGTCCAGTGTGCTATGGGTCTGGAACCCAGGCTAAGGAGATAGGGAGACTTTAAAAAATTCAAAATTGTCATCAATGAGTTCATATCAATTAAACCTGTAAGAAAAGGGGCATACTAGGATTATGATACATGTATATTATTTGAAATTTTCCATCCCTTACTTTGATTTTGTAGTTGGAAGCTACATGAATTCCACTGGTTATGATACATGTACCAATAAAGCCCTACAATACACCATTTTGTTCCAGCTGTCACCATTAAGCCGACTGGCCATCAAAGCTGAGCGAAGTTCCCGCCGGAGGAGCACCCTGGGTCTGAGTCGGGCTGGCAGGAGTTCCTCAGGCACACCTGGCAGACAGGCTACTCAGGCTGCAAATGGAAGTGCCAAAACAAATCGCCAAGGTGATTCAAGAATGTTGTGAAAATATCTCATTCGGTTCCATGATTGAGATGGGGTTTTGTGCGCGTCACGCGTGAAAAATTTGCGCGTGAAAAACTTGCGCGTGAAGAATCTGCGCGTGAAGATATGCAAATTAGCTGACTCCCAAGGGATTTGAAAACTTTTTGCTGTTTTAAGCTTAAAAGTTGGAAAAAAGACAAGAAAATAAAAATTTAACATCATTTTGCTTGCATTCTAGACTACATACCCTTGTTTTGTCCATTTTTTTGTGATTTCAGGTTATTTTGAAAGGTAAAGTTTTCACGCGCAAAAAAGGTTGAAATTTGCGCGTGAAAGAATTTAAGAAAGCATGAAATCAAACTTCTAGAATGGAGAAAAGCTTCAGATTGTTGCATTTTACCATCCTAAACCTCATACTAGTAACTTTTCCATATATTTCTTACAAATTCAAGTGATTTTCAAAAGGTCAGGTTTTATGGAAATTATGCAAATTAGCTTATTCCCAAGGGACCAACATTTTCAAACAAAAATTTTGGCTAACAGAGGGAAAATTATACCAGAGGACAACATTTTCCTGCCTAAGAATTTGGTACTGCATATTTTCTAACGTATTTCTAAGACTTTTATTTTTCACGCGCAAATTTTTCACGCGCAAGTTTTTCACGCGCAAATTCTTCACGCGCAGAAAACCCGTTCCCCCATGATTCATTCATTTCAAAATAATGATATTGTTACTGCATTTGGAAAGGGAGATAATGCCTGTAGTATCCTGGTCTCAACTTCACAGGTTGTACTTCATGTTCTCCAATATTAGAGGTTTCTGAATTGTTTTAATATGAAAGATATTTAAATCTATAGTCCTAAATTCTGAGTGGTGCAAGTGAAATTACATGTACTAGTAATTTGTCTGGGATTAATTTGTCTGAAATGTTAACCTACACCTGTGCAAGTATGCAGAAAAAAGGATTTCAAGCCCTGCCATGGCAGCCATGCATTAGTACTGTATTTTGTCCTAAGTTGTAGCTCTATTTTTTCTTCCAGAAAGCCGGAGGAGCCTGGTCAGTGTGGGCATGGCCAGTAACAGTTGGGATGACCCGGTTAGTCACAATTCTCCAACTGTTTTTTTGTAATGCGAAGATGACAAATTATACACATTTATATATACATGTAGATCAAATACCTTCTGCTGTTTATCACAATAATCATAACCTGCCATATTGGTTGTGTGTTGAACATATTCCACAAAGAGGAAAACAATGCTTGTACTGTGTACGTGAATGTGTGTTGTACCCAGGCTTTTAGCTAGGATTTTTTTGGTGGGCGTCCATTTTTTTTTTATTGTATGCTATGCACAGCGAAGACATGCTGAGTGCAAGATTTTAGGGGGGCTTTTTTGAAATTCATAATGCTCTCAAACACTACTTTCTGCATTTTCAGGTGTAAATTTAGTTTTTTCCTTCAGTAAACCATCATTTTTGTATTTATAGTAAGGCTGAAGGGAGGCATGTGTGCATGGCAAGGGTTGGGAGTGGAAAAAATAGGGCGTCTTTAGGGTGTCCTACAAAAAAGTAGGGCGTCCAATTTCTTATTATTTTCAGTACAGGGCGTCCAAAAGACACCCTGGACACCCCCTAGCTAAAAGCCTGGTTGTACCTAAAAATTACTAATGTTTATGAGATATCATTTCAGTCCTGTCCACTCAGTGGAAGTCAAGGAACCCATCCCCGACCTGGTGATGTCACAAGCCTATCTGTACAAAACATGGACCTCGAATCGCCCAACCTTCTCAGCAAGAGTCGCAAGACAACTGTCGGAAACACCACTTCTCACAGTGTCAGGGAAATGGAGTTAGACTCACCCAATTTACCCAGGGTAAGAATTTCTTCAGCTGCTCTTTTATAATGATAGTGAATGACTGCCTTTT